ATATTTGACTCTGACAAATTCTATATTAATCAATAATTGACCCTACCTCCGACACAAACTCCCCTTTAGAAAATTACTTTAATATTTAGAAGTTGATAGAATCCGCAATTCTTTCTCAACGCAGAGATAATGAAGAATACAGTGGAAAAGCAGAATCTCAACGTCTAAGACGATCAAAATAAAATTCACAACATATTAATGAGGAACGGGACCAAAATAGAATATCTGAATCAATACGCGATGCTTTAGCGCATTCATTGCGACGAGAAGAACAGAAATTCAGAGAAGCAGAATGCGAACACGATGATCCGGAGATTAGAGAAGCCGAATGTGAATAGAATTCCTTGGTGCATTCAACTAGACGCTCTTATTCGCGCAGAGGAACAAAGACAAACAACTGCAGAGCATAGAAAACATCGAGAACCAGAGTGTGAATGGGATGCTTTAACGCATTCTGCAAGACGCGCAGATCCGGAGTACAGAAATGCAGAGCGTGAACGGGATACCTTAGCGCATTCATTGATGTGCGCAGACCCAAAGTTAGGAGAAGCAGAGCTTGATCGGGATGTCTTAGCACATTCATATAGACGCGCAAATCTGGAATTCAGGGAACCGTGAACGAGATGCCTTTGCGCATTCTTCAACATGCGCAGATCTGGAGTACGAAGAAGCGGAGTTCAGAGAAGCAGAACGGGAACGTGCTGCCTTAGCTCCTTTTTCATGACGTGCAGATCCTATTATTCAAATAGAAGAGTAGGAGCGTAATACGATATTGGGATAAAAATCTAGGGAAATTGCATGAAATCAATCCGAAAATTTACAATATATGGGAAATTGTCGCTTTCGAATTCACCGAATGGATGCAATAAATAGAGCGAATGAAAACCAAAGACAGACTGAAAGAAACAGTAATAATAGACGTACGCTATCCCCTGAAACTAGAATTCAACATATAGAAGCAGGTGCACAGAGACATACATGCGGAATATTGGATAAATTTAAATTAAATTTTATAAAGAATGGAACTACAGACGTTTGTTGTGGCGGACTTTGGTTTCCTAACCAAACAAAAGAATTACGCAGAAATAACTTTAAGCAATTACCGAAAGTTTTCTTTTTGTCAGATATTTTCCCTTCTGATGAAAGTCGTTATAAATTTTACAATACATGTTGTAAAATTGTTAACAGGGAAACTTTTGATTTTATGTGTGAGAAAAAGAGAACGAAATATAAACCATCTCTTTCTCCCACACAAAAAATCAAAAGTTTCTCTGTGTGAACCGCCAACTTAGTTAATGGGTTACATTTTCCAGAAGTACTTAATGAATTAAAATAATTAACAGGATTGAACGATTTGTGACTCCACAAATCCCATTCATGAGAGTGGTGTCATTGGGTATAATCGCCTAGCTGTTGTAAATACGTAACAATTCATCTGGATAAACCAGTGGACAACGAAATTTTGACGAGACAAAAGTCAAAGAAGATTGGAACATAATCATAGCTTTATAACTGAAACAGAGCAAGGAAAATAATAGAGGCTGTTCAATACTTGGTCAGCACAGAATTATATAGGAAGTACAATGTAAGTATATCCGATGATTGGATAAATAATGTGGGTCAAAATGAAGAAGTTCCTTTTATATAAAATATAGAAGACCGCAGAAGATAAATGATAATACAGATTAAAAGATAATACAGCCTTAACTGATCCGGAAGAAATTAATCCTCAAGCCACACTCTTGGAATGCATTCGAATCGAAAATGTTTCATTGGAATGGATTTACATTGCACCTTGTGAAATACAACGTCCACTAGATATGACTTTTGATGAAGACTCCGAAGAGCTATCATGGCCATCGATATACTGTGGAGTTAAAAGGACTTGTACTGCTACAGTAGAAAAAATCATTAAATCAGAGACAAGATAATATGACTTAAGATGTGGACGTGTAGACAAAATTTTATATTCATATAAAAAACTGGAACTATCACGTGTAAAAAAAGCATATCACATATTTGAGGAAAAAATGGAACCTAACCAACATACAGCTGGAAACATGTTAGATGGACATTTTGTACAAAACCTGGTACAGCATGATGACTGATATGATATTTTAAAGGGTATTAGATCTTCTCCTGCACACTGGGAAGGAGAGAAGAAAAAAGTGTTAGCATTGATAAGACAATTACTTTGCCAACCTTTTTATACCATTCACCTTCATGAGAAGGGTATATATAAGTTTGTCAGAATCCTTATAGAAAGCGGAGTCGATTAAACCACATCGGTCTGTCTGTGTGTGTGTGTGTCGAAATCAATTTTCTGAAAAGCCTAGATATCTTCGGGATCCAAATCTTTAATAATTCTGTTGGACATACTTTAAAGAAGTTTCCTATTAATATAGAGATCTGAGAACCATTCGAAAAAAAATATTTTTGTTTTTCTCGTGTTCAGTATATTAATACGTTTCTATTGAGAAGTATTCCTGCATGAAATTCATAAAAAGGCTGTTCCTCGAAGTAACTACAGTATTGAACCTAGAAACATTAAATTAAGCATGTAGAACCAATAAAAGCGAACTTTTCGTACGTCAAAAGGTGCTTTTTGAGTTTTCTAAAATATTAAACCTAGAAACATAAGCTAAAGCATGTAGAGCTAGAAGTAAATGAGAACCAATAAAAGGGGATCTTTTGGTACCCAGCAAAAAATAATTGATGTCATACTTTACAAACGACATCTTAATCACATCTAAAAATGTGATTGCATACTTTTCGCTTTTATAAACCAAACATATACTTACAAATTAAAACACAGTTAAAAATGAGAAAAGAGATGTAGAAAAGTCACTACAAACAACATATTCGAAGTACTTCAAATTTTGATGAAATTTACATAAGCGTTTCATTAAAAGAATGTGGTTTATTTTTGACATACAAATATCGAATTTTTACAGCTTCTAAAGATAAGATTAGATGTAGTTCAAAGTTGTCAGAAATGAACAACATCCCTCCAATGACACGCTAATGTAAAATTCATAGGTTTTTCACCTGAATTTAAGCACTTCGGGTTACTAGTTGTGATGAAAATTCTACATCTTTTTCCACACTTTTTTTGCTGGGAAATGAAAACACAGTTAAAAATGAGAAGAGATGTAGAAAAGTCACTACAAATTTTGATGAAAAACCAATGAAATTTACATAAGCGTTTCATTGAAAGAATGTGGTTTATTTTTGACATACAAATATCGGATTTTTACAGCTTCTAAAGATAAGATTAGATGTAGTTCAAAGTTGTCAAAAATGAACAACATCCCTCCAATGACACGCTAATGTAAAATTCATAGGTTTTTCACCTGAATTTGAAGCACTTCGGGTTACTAGTTGTGATGAAAATTCTACATCTCTTTCCACACTTTTTTTGCTGGGTAGTTTTTCGTTCTTCAGAAGGCACACTTTGACTACACAGAAAAAAATATGCACAATTTTTTTCTTAACAATCGTTTGCTTAAATTTAATTTCGATTTATAAATATTTTTATTTGGGTTTATAACGAATTTGTTTGATGTTCACACAGAAGGAAAATATTTTCTAACAAACACTTTATTGAAATAAATTTAACTTTCAGTAAATATTTTTACTGATTCAATAAATGTTTTTGTTTGAGTTTTATTTTTATGTCAGCATATGGAATACAACAATAAAACCAGTTTTGGAATGTACTAAAATGAATTGATATAATTCTTATTTGGTTTATAACATTTAATGTATAAGTGTTTCAGTTTTCACAGTACAAAATAATAGTTTCTAGAATTAGAAACGTTTTCTTAAAAATGTTGTAAGTATATATGTAATTTTTTTACTACTTTTAGTTGTAAATATTTTTTGTAAAATTTTTGTTAAAATTTAGTATATATTTTTTAACAAAATTTTTATAGATTCAATAAAAAATTTTCTTATTATTATTGCCAAAATACAATAAATAATTTAACTGTTTCAGATAACATATTTGCTTGAATTTCAGTACAAATACTAATAACTTGTGTTATTGTTTCAGTAAAATAATTGTTTGGAAATGTTGCGATTATTTATTAATGTTTTTCGTAAATAGTATATTATTTTAATAAGAAAAATCCTGAAATTTTTTCAATAAAGAACCCAGCAAAAAAAGTGTAGAAAAAGATGTAGAATTTTCATCACAACTAGTAACCCGAAGTGCTTCAAATTCGGGTGTAAAACCTATGAATTTTACATTAGCGTGTCATTGGAGGGATGTTGTTCATTTTTGGCAACTTTGAACTACATCTGATCTTATTTTTAGAAGCAGTAAAAATCCGATATTTGGATGTCAAAAATAAAACACATTCTCTTAATGATACGCTTATGTAAATTTCACTACTCTTTCACCAAATCTTGATGTACTTCAAATATGTTATTTGTAATGACTTTTCCACATCTCTTTCCTCACTTTTAACTGGGGTTTCATTTGTAAGGAAATATTTGGTTTATAAAAGTGAAAAATATGTGATCGCATTTTAAGATGTGATTAAGATGTAGTTTGTAAAGTATGACATCAATTATTTTTTGCTGGGAATTTACGAATTTGAGTACTTGATTTTACGAATTTCGTGATAGGTCCTATTTTAGTAAAAAAAATACTTGGCTTTATGAATTTTTTGTTTGATTTTGAATTCCATTTTTTTCTGTGTAGAAACACGAAATTAAACATGTAGAGCCCTGAGTAAGTGAGAACCTATAAGCGGGGGCCTTTTCTAGAACTTTTACACTTTATAAACCTAAATTTTATTATCATGTGAAACCATAAGCAAAAAATAAGAACCGTGAGTTATACCAAAAAATATTTAATACATAGAATATGCGTCTCATACAAGATACATTTTCAATAGCGGGTCGTGATACTAAAAGAATACGTGTAAATGCATATTCTTGTAATGAATATTCTTTTGTAAAACACATACAAATATTAAAATTTATTTAATTTATTTTTGTACATATGTATATACAAAGAAAACAGATTAGAAACAAACAATAATACACATTATAAATTAAAAAAATAAGTAAAATATAAAATACACTAATATCTACTATATGTATGTTTACATAAACATATTTATTGTATATTAAGAATGATGGTTTTTTCGATGGGCCCGTAAGCCGCACGCCTGGAAAAACGCTTTACCACATTCATTGCACTTATAATTTTTTACTTCACCATGTATAAGTTGATGTCTCTTTAAGTATTTATTATGGACAAAACCTTTGCCACAAATTTTACATATTATATCACGTATATTGAGATGTGATTTAACATGGTTGTTAAGAGCATGTAGCTGATTAAATCCTCTTTTACATATATGACACTCGTGGCGAAAACGTTCCTCATGGCGGCGTATATGATTGTCATAACCATGACGCGCCCTAAAGCCGGTACCACATATTTGACATAAATAAGGTTTATCACCCGTATGAGAAGTCACATGCCATTCTAAATCGTTTTTAAACAAATATCCCTTTCCACATATATCACAATGAAAATTATATATTCCCAAATGGCGTTTTTTATGTATTAGGTATTTGTGATAATTACTAAATGTCACATCACAGGACGGACACTTAAACGGCTGTGTTCCATTGTGTTGAGCCATATGTTGACAGTAGGAATCATATTTTGGCAGTTTTTCATTACAAATCGTACATAAAAATGGACCTTGACTATCGCTGAGAAATGACATTTCTGCATAGTATTTATGTTCAGGTACAAATTCCTTTTTCTCCATTTTACATATTAATTCTTTGTCTTTATCTTTGGAATACAATTCATTTAAATAGTTTATGTGATAGTTCATTTCTTCTATACTTATATTGACATCGTGCTCTAATTTTATGTCATCAACTATTTTCATATAAATTTCATTTTTCTTATTTTTTATACCAAATGCGATATTATCCACTTTCCATAAAATTTCATATTTTTTATATAGCTGTATTAAACTTGGTAAAATTTTTACATAAATCGTCTAATAAACAAAAAGTGGAAAATACCATTTAATTTGATCGCATGAATTCTGTTTGTAGGTTTACTTACCCGTCGACGTTTCTTTGATTTGTTAGTTTCAGAGGACTAAAAATTAAGAGCAAATATATTATAACTATCAAATATACAAATATTTATATAAAAATAAAATTACATTTATTAATGCATTACTTTGAAAAAGTTCCATAAAGATATTTTATTATAATTAATATAATACATAAGGTAATCTTTGAAATAAGCTGTAGCTAGAAAATACTTATTTATAATAAATTTAACTTACTTTTTTTGTTACTTTCTTCTTATTTAGAGGGCTACCCGACGTCTTTGTTTGCTATAAAATTATCATATGTTTTTTTAATTAATAATAAAATATTATACAACTAAGTTTTCATATATTCCACTGTGTCGAATATTATATACATGTACTTCACCATAGTATGTTTTTAAATATTGTTTTAAAAATTGTTAAAAAATATAAAAGAAAATTAATTTTTTCAAAATTTTTGTTATTTCGGTATTTTCGCGGTATTTGTTTAATCATCCGCCGACTCGTATACCATAAAATATAACAAATACTGAAGAAAAAAATATTGAACATGTAGCATACCCGAGTTATTCATCAGTATATTAAAATGGGTCTTGATCCATATTGATCAATATATATTGAACGTGTGCCAGTGCCCTTAGGGCAGTGTCACACGTTCAATATATATCGTGATATTTGCTGTATTGTGATATGTATTGAACGTGTAGCATGTAATATTGACGGATCGTGTTCCATATCACAGAAAACCCCAATTTTCTGAAATCCAAAATTTGTATCAATATTTATAATGGATCACGTGATAAATATTGAACGTGTAGCATGTTTTGTGACAAAGAATATAAAGAAATTGGGGCTTGTCAGTTGGTACGTAAAGGAGTTGTCATTCGGTACCTAACTCTAAGTATGTATTGGTAGAATTTTTGTATTAGTATTGGAGCTCCAACCACTTTCACCACACTTTCCAAACATACATGCTTGCATAAAATCGTACATAAAAATTTTAGGAAAAATAAATATCATTTAAATTTCTACATTCGCAGATTTTTTAATTTATTTTGCCCACATCTAATCAGTAAACATTTAATAAATATATTTTTCGGACTTAAAATCTCTTTTTTTGCAAAAAAATAAGTTTATTTTAAATAATTTTTTCATTTTCAATACCAAAATATACAACTTTGTTTTGTCAATTTTAATTTCAACACACAAAAATTAATTGTCAAAAAAATTAAAATAATATTTTTTTAGTTTGTGAAAAATAAAATTATTTCGGATTGTTAAATGCGATAAAATTGTGTAAAAAATTAAAAAATAGTTCTGTGTTTGTGAAAAAACGTCGTTCAAGTCCTATTATCCCGGTATTTTCGCGAAAAAGTTTTGAAGTATTGTGAGAGAATTGAGTTCTCACAAGTGTGTTGAATTTACACAGAACTCGTCTGTGAAGAGAAGGAAATGTTATTGTTGTAAAACAATGTCATAGTCCAACTTCTTATTATTCTTTGTTTTGTGATATCAATCACGATACATTTGTAAAATTCGGAAAAATAAATAAAATAAAAAAAAAAACAAAGTCAAATATTTTTTTAAATGTTAATAAAAAATATAAAAGATAATAAATTTTTTCTAAATTTGTATGAATTTGGAGTTTTCGCGGCATTCTTGTTATCATCGTACGACCCGTGTAGCACGAAATAATGAAAATACTGACGCGATAATATATTGGATTGATGAATACCTCGGGTATGCTACACGTTCAATATTTTTTACGTCAGTATTTGCAATATTTTATGGTATACGGGTCAGCAGATGATTAAACGAATGCCTCGAAAATCCGGAATTAACACAAATGGTTGTATCATGAGAAAAAAGTAATTTTCTGTTATATTTTTTAACAACTTTTAAAACAATATTTCATTGGTATTTGTTTTATTTTATTTATTTTTACAAATTTTACAAAAGTATCGTGATTGATATCACAAAACATGCTACACCTTCAATATTTATCACGTGATCCATTATAAATATTGATAATAATTTTGGATTTCACAAAATTGGGGTTTTCTGTGATATGGAATACGATCCATCAATATTACATGCTACACGTTCAATACATATCACAATACAGCAAATATCACGATATATATTGAACGTGTGACACTGCCCTAAAGGATTAAATATATCGTGACCCTATATTCAAAAAGTGCGAACTCAATTTTGGGCAAAGTGAGTTTTTGATGCAAAAGGATTCCTCAATGTATGATCCACGTCTGGTATAAATTTGAAACCAAAAAAGTAATTTTTGCACTTTTAACAACAATTTTTGTTAATATGCTATCTCAAAGTTAAATTTTTATTGAAGAAAATAAGTGCTAACTTCCATACAAATTTTACAACATTTTTTAAAACTTCAAATTTATTTAAAATTTATTTTGTATATTAACAAGATGAACATGCTGAACACAAAACAGGTGAAGATTAATAAATTGAATGTATAGTTTTTAAGATATGATCATTTATATATTTGTATATAAAGCCAGTTTTAGACTTTAAATAATGTTTTTCCGAAAAATGTAAAGTTATTTCAGAAATCGTTTATAACACTAAGATCTATAATATTCTATGGTTCCAATTTAGAATTTTGATTATAAAAAAGTCTTTAAATGTGCAAATTATGGAGTATTATTCAAAAAATATTGGTACTTTTTATATTCAAAAGCTTTTCATAATTTAAAATATTTGTACTGAGAATAAGAAATAGTAAACAAGCAGATATGCCATGAGTTTTTCTACTTAAATGGTGTAAATGCATTTTATTGGACTTACTGGTTTGACTTATATCCCTTTAAAAAAAAAAACATTTCATAAAATTATAAAATAACGCATATTTTTAGAAGAAATTCTATTCTTTGAACAAAACATGCTAACTTAGAACAAATATTTGTTTTTTTGTCGACCAAAAAGTGCTATCTTATATAAGTCGCTAAAATGTGCAAAATATTAAAATTTTTTCATAGGTAAGAATTAGTAAGGATGTTAAAAACGTATTATGGAAGAAATATTGTTTTTTAGTGCAATATTTCACGAATTAAATAGTTTTTTTGCTTTCCTGAAAACTAGACTTTATTGATTTAGCACTTTTTGAATATAGGGTATCGATATTTTTAAATAAAAGTATGCTATGGTGACGAGTATATAATTTCGGGCAATATGCTTGTTAATTTTTAGACTTACGTCGAAATCTGCGTCATTTGAATCATCAGATAGTTCATCGGAACTAAGATCCTTAAATATGTAAGAATTTTCGGCGGACTCTTCAATAATTGTGTCTGTTTCTTGGATAGAACTTGCCACATTACTAACATCACAAATTTCATCTTCTGTATTGACGCATTCTTCCTTTTTATTTTTAACATTTCTTAGTACAGATTCCTCTGAGTCACTCATATTTTTTATAAGGCTCTTTTCTAACTTTCCTGTCTCTAAAGGATCTTCATAAACTGCTGAGCTTGTAGTAGTATCAATACTTTTATTATATCTTTCATCAAATATTTGCATATCTAATCGTTCTTCAACTTTTATTTCTTCTGGTTCAAATAGAAGATTTGGACACTTCTCATGTTCTAATCCATCTTCAAAACGATTCCAATGTTCTTCAAGGTGTTTAGAAAACTTTTTTAATTGATCACATTCTGTGCTACAAAAAGCACAATGAAATGTAAAAACTTTGTTTTTATTTTTTATCGTTTTCATATTTATAAATATATTTCCACAAATTTGGCGATCTGAATTCTTGTTAGCCCCCATTTTACATTGTTGTTAAAATGAAAAACAAACTTTGTTTACATTTGAAAGAAGTACGTTTATTGAAAGAACGAAATGCTTAAGGTATGTTCAGTCAAAGAAAAAAAAATCATATGGACTGAACATTCAGTTAGGATTCTACAGTATATATAAAAAGTCGACTTTTTTAATATCTATATTAAAAATATACAACTGAAATATGTAACTACAACGTTTCGCAAAGAAATCATAAAATTTTAATAAAATGATTAATAAAGAGTGCAAAAAAATATTTATTTCGATTTTATTTACATAATTTAGTATTCGATCTTTGTCTTAGATTTATGGACTTCTTCTCAGAATTATATACATAAATACATATAAATACGTTGACTATGAAAATTTTAAAGTGGTGAAAGAAGCTGATAGGTTATTTTCTAATTTTTTAAGTGGGAAATTGAGTTTCTTACAAAAGATATCAACAAATCGTCTGCATATAGACAATGATCCAATACGCAATATCCAGAAATAAGGTTACTTATTTTATTCATTGAAAGCGATTTGCATCAATCAATAAATATTTTTACAAATTAAATATTTATTTCTCCTTTTTGGCAGCAATTATGCAATGTAGTGTGATGCTATAATTATGTGGATCCTCTCTGACATTCTGCATTCCAATGATTTTCATTACGAAAACCATGAAGATGTAATTCACAGGTAATTAAATTTTTATATTATTGCAACCTGTACATCACGGTAATAGCGATTTTGATTTCCTATGCTTTTGTGGTGGAGAGCTAGGAAGAGATAAATCATTTCCCAAACAGTCTTCGCTATCTTCTCTTCCATGATATCGTCTCTCTCAGCTAGGTCTATACTATAATAGCGATTATGATTTCCTATGCTTTTGTGGTGGAGAGCTAGGAAGAGATAAATCATTTCCCAAACAGTCTTCGCTATCTTCTCTTCCATGATATCGTCTCTCTCAGCTAGGTCTATACTTGGAACGGCACCTCGCTTCAAATGCCTTTTCCCAATACATTCTAACGAAAAGTGTCTTTCGCATAAATATAATCGAGGCGTCTTTTCCATAAACTGCTTATCAATGTTGCATATTTCTGCCCACTGTTTAAACAAAGGTGTATCACCACTTGGAAAACGAAAAAGTTTTATGTTAGGAAAACTTCTTTTGGATCTACGACAATGCGGTAGACAGCATTTGTTTCCTGCTTTTCTGGAAACTGGCGAATTTAAATTCTGAAAGTACAAATGTAGAATTGAACAAATTTTCAAGAATAAATACCAAAGACGTTATTTCGTTGGTTTGTGAAAAAATTTTTGAAAATGTGTAGTTTAAATTATTTTTGTTTAACGTTTTTTTTTATTTAAAATTTTGGTATTTTCTTTATTTTATGGAAACAAAATATTTGACAGCGATGTAATAATGTGTGTGTTCAACTACTCGCCAGAATTACAATTTTTTACAGATTCCCATACTCAAATTTCAATTAATAAAAACCTGCAAAATTGACGAGTACGGTAACATACATGATATCGTTCGAAATAATAAAATATAATATATAACACTGAAGAGTTTTCAAGTGCAATTTTGATAGACTATACTATTACTAGAGTCTAGTAACTAGACTATGGGTTAGTTCAATGATATATACACATTAACTAGTCTAGGGACCAGTCTTGTAATAAATCGTTGTGCTGGATAAGGATTATTTTATAGACTGGCTAGTCTACAGTTTAGCTTATTGTCTGGTCTATAACTTAATATATAATTTGTAAAGTATATGGACTGTCAATTTATTTATTTATTTATTCAAATGTAATACATGTAGCCACTTGGCCAATAAAAATTATATTACAAGTATTCTTATTATCTATGAGAACATCCACTCCTCCTAACGACCCCTACAAATACATACTTATATAAAATATAAAAATAAGATAAACAATGTACCCTAATTATCAGCCAAAATTATTGGATTGAAACAGATCAAGAATTCTTAGCTTGAAGGTCATTACTGATAATGTAAAAGATCTTAAATTTCTGGGTAATAAATTCCAAATACGAGCAGATTGTACAACAAATGATTGTTCATATATTGAATTATGTATAGCAGATATAATAATTTGTGGATTCCGAATAGATCTTGTAAATAATATTTTTTGTACAATATCCTGGGGTATTTGAAGTTTAATGATTTTATATAGGTATATTAACCAGCGAAATTTAAGATAATCGTCAAAGTCAAGATTCAAAAAATTTTTCAAGTGTGAGGAAATATGATTCCATTTTATAAATTTATTTGACATCCCTAATGTACATACATTAATAATACATTTTCTTACTTCTTCTTTATTAGCACTTTCATTTCCATCTATTGGCAAAAATTCCTCCATTTCTTCCATATCTACTTCTTCATCTTTAATTTCTTCTGGTTGAAATGGTGTATTTGAACACCGTTCATGTTCTGGTTCATCTCCAAAACAATTCAAATGTTCTTCAAGATGTTTAGAGAACTGTTGTAATTGATCACAGTCCGTATTACAAAAAGCACAATGAAATGTAAAAACTTTATTCTTATAGTTTTTATGTTTATAAATATATTTCCACAGATGTAATGTTCTGGATTTTTGTTGGCTCCTTTTTTATAATTTCGTAAATGAAAAAACTAATTACTTTGTTTACATTTGTATGAAGTATGTTCATTGAACAGTGAACCGGCATTAAAAATACTACGTATATTTAGTGTAAAATTTAAGTCCTATATGATAACGGGAAACCGTGCTGGAAATCAATTGAAAGTTGTAAAATTAGGTAAATGATTTTACTTTTTTACTTTTTCAACAAAATATCTTGGAGTTCCGAAACTTCAATATCAGAATTTAAATAAAAATATTTAAAATTAATTTTAAATTTATTACATATTTTCAAAAAATAAATTGTATTTAAATATGCTAAAGTGGAAGATGGTTTTGTTACATTTAAGGCCAAAATCAAAGTTGAACATTGTAAAAAGAATGTTTAAATTTTCATTATTTTTCAAATTTAAAGATTCGGATTCTCCGAAAACTTAAGTTTGCAATAAAAGAATTTTTTTAATTAACTTATTTATTGTAAACATTAATATATGTTGTATGTGACATTTAAAAAATTAATAAATAAAACCTAAAAACTAATAAAAAGAATAACTTTAATAAGGAAGGTTATGTTTTTATAATATAATATTTTTTATACCTTGATTAAGTATGATGATTTTTTCGATGGGATCGTAAGCCGCACGCCTGGAAAAACGCTTTTCCACATTCATTGCACTTATATTTTTTTACATCGCCATGTATAAGTTCGTGTTTCCGTAAGGATTGTTTATGTACAAAGCCTTTGCCACAGATTTCGCATATTATATCACGTATATTGAGATGAGATTTAACATGACTGTTAAGAGCATGTAGTAGATTGAATCCTCTTTTACATATGTGACACTCGTACCTAAAGCGTTGCTCATGACGCCTTATATGATTGACATAGCCATGACGTGCCCTAAATCCTCTACCACATATTTGACACAAATAAGGTTTATCACCGGTATGAGAAGTTTTATGCCATTCTAAGTCATTTTTCAATGAATAGCCCTTTCCGCATATATCGCAGTGGAAACTGTATATACCCAAATGACGTTTCTTATGTGTAAGGAATGTGTGATAACATTTAAATGTTACTTCACAAGATGGACATCTAAATGGCTGTGTTCCGCTGTGTTGAGCCATATGTTGGCAATAGGAATCATATTTTAAAAGCATTTTATTACAGATCAGACATAAAAATGGACCTTGACTATTGCTAAGAAATGACAATTCCGCATAGTATTCACATTCAGGTACAAACAACTTTTCTTCCATTTTACACTTTAATTCGTTATTTTTATCTTTGGAGAATAAATCGTTTATATAGTTTATATGAAAGCTTATATCTTCTAATGTGATGTTAACATCGTGCTCTAATTTTAACTCTTCAAATATTTTGGTATAGACATCATTTATTTTTTCTTTTATACCGAATGCGATATTATCTACTTGCCATAAAAGTTCATATTTTTTATATAACTGTATTAAACTTGGCAAAATTCTTATAAAAATCGTCTAAAAATAAAAGGAAAAAAGAAAATTATTAGATAAACCCCTTCATTTTTATTTACATATCAATGTTTATCAAATGTTTACTTACCCGTCCTCGTTTCTTCAAATTGTTAGAGGATGTATTTACATCATGTTTCGACTAAAAATAAAGGATGAAATATATGAATACAAAGCATAACTAATTATTAAAGTTTCACACAAAAGAAAATTGTTTCACTTTACTTACATTAAAATAGGCATGGTTTGAATCATCAGAAAGTTCATCGCAACTAAGGTCCTTAAATATGTAAGCATATAGTATGTCTGAATTTTCAACGGATTCTTCAATAATTAGGTCTTCCCCTTGCAAATAATTTGTACCGTTTTCCTGTGCCATTTTATTAGTATCACAACTTTCCTCTTCATTGGCACTTAATTCACTTTCATTTTTAACAGCTATTGGAACAAATTCTTCTTTAGCACACATGTCCTTCTCCGTCTTCAAGTGATCTTTAAAAAATTCCGAGCTTGTATCAGTATTAATACTTTCATTATGAGCTTCATCAAATGCTTCATCATTTGAATCTACAGATAATTCATCGGAACTAAGGTCCTTAAATATGTAAGAATATAATTTGTTTGCATATTCAGGAGAATCTTCAATAATTACGTCTGCTTCATGAATATAATTTGTATTACAATCTTCTTCATCTACTTCTTCATTGTCACTATCTTCACATTCATTTTTAACTTTTACTGGAATAAATCCCTCCGTAGCACACATGTTTTCTGTCTTTCCTGTCTCTAATGGATCTTCATAAACTTCCGATCTTGTGGCAGTATTTATACTTCTATTATAGGCATCATCAAATACATGCATATGAATTCTTTGTTTAATTTCTTCTGGTTCAGATAGGAGATTTGGGCACATCTCATGTTCTTCAAAATAATGCAAGTGTTCTTCAAGGTGTTCAGAAAAAATTTGTAATTGGTCGCAGTCCGTACTGCAAAAAGCGCAATGAAATGTAAAAACTTTATTATCGTTTTTAATTGTTTTTATGTTTATAAATATATTTCCACAGATTTGACGATTTGTATTTTTGTTGTCTTCCATTTTTATTCTGTCATTAATATGTATAAGAAAATTTGTTTACATTCAAAGAATGTACGTTTAGTGATGAACCAAAGTGTTACGGTATGTTCAGACAAAGCAAAAATCGATGTGGATTGAACATATTGCGCATTTACTACATGACTGGCTTTAGGTTGAGTTTACACATAACAATTTCTATTACCGCAAGTCTATGTTTGTTAAAATAGTGATTATAGAAAACATCTAAGACTTAAAAAATCATTTCGATGTTTCTATTGCAAAAAATTAAAAAAAAAACAAACGTTTTTTCTTCTCTTAATTAGCTTACGTATTAAAATTCGTTTCCATTGGCAGGCTTTTAAGATCATAGTTTTACAAAATTAAAGGCTATTTATTACATTTTCAATTTGTAAACCTAGAAGTTCATTTTTATACATTGGAAAAATTTAAAAAAGTTAGCAAATGTTGGATAAAGTCGTAAGATGTCAAAATATAAATATACATGTAAATGTAAAAAACTCGATAATTTTAAAATTTCAGAAATCGAAAAATCGACTTTGTGAAAACGTTAGTTTTTAAATTTTCTTCTTTTCACTTCCAAACAATAAAATATAAAAAATCTACTTTTTCATTGCAAAAAATCGTCTTTGAGTGAAACAAAATTAAAAAATCTTAAACTCCAGCTAATGATATTAACTTAAACTTGTTTAAATGTAATATTTTTATAAATACTTAACTTTTTAAATAGTAAAAAAATATATTTCAAATCAATGTTAAAGAATAAATGTCCAGGATTTTTGTAATTATTCTTAAAAAAATCTACTTTTTCATTGCAAAAAATCGTCTTTGAGTGAAACAAAATTAAAAAATCTTAAACTCCAGCTAAAGATATTAACTTAAACTTGTTTAAATGTAATATTTTTATAAATACTTAACTTTTTAAATAGTAAAAAAATATATTTCAAATCAATGTTAAAGAATAAATGTCCAGGATTTTTGTAATTATTCTTAAAATTATTTGTTTATTTTTGCACGGGATCTAATTATATTCACTATACATATTTCATTAAATTTACTTCAACATTTTGCATAAATTGTATTAAGAGCATTATTATGACTTTATTTCTAATGTTAATAAATAAAGACGCATGCTTCTACGGTTTATTTGAGTGACACTTCTGTTCATGTCGTTTTAAATATTTATTACCTGTAAAACCCATATTACAAATTTTACATTTGATATCACGAATATTAAGATGACATTTTACATGGGAGTTAAGAGCATGCAAGTACATGAATCCTTTTTTATATATATTACATTCGTAACGAAAGCGATTTTCATGACGTAACATATGAACAGCATGATGATTACGACTTCTAAATCCTTCACCACATACAGAACATAAAAATGGCTTTAAACCGGTGTGTGAAGTTAAATGATAGTCCAATTCTGCTTGATAAAGATATCCTTTGCCGCACACATTACAGTAACAGTTGTAAACTTTTAAGTGACGTTTTTTATGAATTCTATATTTATCAAATTTAGCAAATGTCATTTCACAAGATGTGCACTTAAAAGCCGGAGTACCATTATGTTCAGCCATATGTTGACAGTAGATGTCATATTTTGTTACAATTTCATTACAAATGGAACATAAAAATGGTCCTTGACTTTCGCTGAGAAATGACAGTTTCGTATATAAATCAGATTCAGGAATGAATTCCTTATTTTCCATTTTACATATTAATTCTTGTTTTTTATCTTTGGAAAATAATCGATTTAAATACTTAAGGTTTGTATGTACTCCATGAACATTTATGTTTCTTTTTAGATGTACCTTTATTTCATCTGCTATTTTACCAAGTATTAATAATATCTTCGGTTTAACTCCAAAAGCAATATTATTTACATTCCAAAGAATTTCATGCTTTTTGTATTGTTCAATAAAAAGCGGCAAATTTTTTTTGTAGATGCGCTAAAAAAACAAATTGTTATATAAACACATAAATTGCAAATTTAAGATTTACATATATAAATACTAAATAATTATCATTGTGTTATTAAACGTACCCTGGATAATGGATATTCATCGTCGTCAACCTTAGAGTAGAAATTTAAATGAAAATAAGTTTATTTAAATAACTTGATGAAAATCTTATTACTATACTTACTGATTCCTTTTCCGATGCTTCTTTGGGAGTTTTTGCTTCTTTTTTCTGTTAAAATGTAATCTTTTACATTAAACAAAAATTTAATAGGTATATGCACATATGTAATTTTCTTACTTACATTATCTTTTTTGGATTTCTTGGTCTTTTTGTGAGAATTTAGCTCTTTTTCAACCTAAAAATTAAAGCACATAAATTTATTTGTTAAAGACACTAATTAAATGTTAAAATATGATTTCCAAATATTTTAAAATTTTCCATATAATATACACATAGTAAGGACTGAACATAGAATGTGGTAATTTTGGTGAGATATTCTCGTCAAAATTTCCATTTGTGTTAATTTTATCAATAGAAAATATGTAATTATAAATTTTTTTCTTAATACAGTTTAATAGTTTTTAATACTTACATTAAAATCGGAATCCTTTGAATTATCACTGTCAACATCAGAAGTATATTGCTACAATTTAAATATATACATAAATAAATTAAAATATATTTGTTTATAACTATTTTTAATAACAGACTACAGAAAACTTGGCTATATCGTTTTTGATATTTTGGAGGATAGATGAAGAACCAATATTCCGATATGATATGTTTACGTATAATGTAAATTACCTTAGGTATTTTGATCAACTTTTTAGAACTTTGCTCATCTTTGATTTTCTTATTTCTACAATTTGTACTGTTATCATCTTCTGTTTCACTACTGAAATCATTACAATTCATAGTGTAATCATTGTCACTTTCTAAATCCTCACAAGATGCATTCATGTTGGCTTCTAAATAAGATGTTTCATTTTCTTTCTTATTAATTGTTAGTAAATCCTTATTTTCTATTTTTAGCATATTTAAGGGATCACTATAAACATTAGTCTCAATGGAATTATTTGGTGCAACAGCATTGTGATTCGTGTCAACAATATATATTCGCTGTTCCATTTTAAAATCCTCACGATCGGATGAAGGATTTGAAATTTCAGGCTCCATTTGTACTGGAACATCTTTCAATTCTTGATCAAAATTTCGAAAATGTTTATCTTCGAGATGCTTGCTAAATTTTTTAAGTTGTTCACAATCAATACTACAAAAAGCACAACGATATGTGTAAGATTTTGTTTTATGTTTAATTCTTTTAATATCAATTAATATTTCGCCACATTTTTGAAGATCTGAATTTTTGTTTGCACCCATTTTACAAATATTTTCTAAAAAAAATATAAACAAAAATCAGTGTTGATAACCAAATGAAAATTATTAGTCATTTGACTATAAAATCGTGAAACTAGCAAAAGTATCTTCAATTAAACATACTCTTTGTAAGATGTAAATTGAGTAGTCTATGATGTAAATAAAGGTATTTTCAGACTACAATACTGAGTATTAACACACTTCAAATTAAAAATATTATGAAAATAATTCGCATTTTCAAAAAATCAATCCGAAAAATACATTTTATGTTTACACTATAACATTTGTAATATTTTTTATCCAATTTTCAATTATTTATGCACTTTTCGTTCTTATTTTTAATGTATTTTACACTTTTTCTTTGTTTTTTATTGTATTTATAAAATACATACCGAATACGTTTGAAAATAAAAAGTTTTTGAATTGTTTTAAAAAATTTATGAATACCGACCGTATGCCAAAAAAATCAGTAATATTTTTGAAAATCAAATTACAAATTATATTTAGACTAATAAATTGTATTATGATACAAATATTCTTGACAAGTATTAATACTCAGTATTGTAGTCTGAAAATACCTTAAAGAAGAAAAGATATAGAATAGAAATAAAAATATTTCTAAAGAAATTTGTCACAAAGTTTTTCTGTAAAAGACTGTCTTTAAAATAAGTTTTTTTGGAAAATTTTTGTATTCTACAAGCTAAACTATTGTACTGAAAATTGTCCAAATGAAACTATGAACACATTGAAATTATGATTTTTACAGATAAACTATTAGAAAGACCTATTATACAGAGAAAACATATAAATTCTTCATGAAATAAAATTTTACAGGCAATATAGAATATATATTTTATATACTACATAGACAATTTATCAAAACAGAAAACTGTTGTACAATTAATTTAATATAAGCAAAGCACTGAATCAAACAATTTTTTAAAAAAATATTGTTGTGTATATGTATAAAATAAAACTACAAACAACGGCCGCAACGATTAAGACTGATCAGTAATTTGGTAGCGGCGCGACGTCGACAATTTGATAAGCCGCGGCCAGACGCCGCTTTTACGCGGATCGACTCGTTACTCTATTTATATACACAACAAGCGAACAAAAATGCTAGATAAAAACCAAAAATAAACAGTATTAGAAATATCAATACAGTTCATACAACAAGTTACAAGTCTTCATTTCTATCCGCTTCACTTTATTTAATAATAAAATCGTTTATAAGGACGCAAAAAATGCAAAGAGCCTCTTCAGGAAACAATAAAACCAGTCGTACGAAGGAAGAGAAGGCGAAGAACGGCACAAAGAAATCTCTGGTCTTTCTGGCTAAGATGGCGAAAAAAGATCCTTCGTCGTTAACCTCTAAAGAAAGGCACCTTATCAGGAGACACAGACAGGACGTGTCAAAATTTGAAAGAATTTACGGCCCTGTCAGTGTTATTCTAGGAAGGTCGTATCTTTTTGAACAGTATGAGACTACTGTGAACCCGACAAATACTATTATAAGTAAAGGGTCGGCTATTTCATCCACAAACTGTTCAATGAGTAATGGTGTTATTCCTACTGTCAAATCGCTCACGTCTTCGGAAAGAGCTGCAGGAGATAATAATGCAACATCCAGTAAACAAACCAACGGATTTAAAGTAAAAGGTATGGTGAAGAAAGTTACAGAAAAACATTCAGCATCAACAAAGAAGGCAAAGAAATCCGAGAACCGGGATAGATACCTTCAGGCAGCTGTCGTCGATTGGAGTAATCGCAATGGGAAGATAAATGCCGATCTATGGCAGTTAGTTGAGCGTAAGCTTCTGGATGAAATCGCCAATTTCAATGGCAGCTCGGAGGATGTATCCTTCAATGGCGCAGATTGGTCTAAGGGCACGAAGATAGTCAATTGTGGTAACAAAAATTCATTTGATTTCTTAAAAAACACAATTGACAAGATTAACCAACTTAACCCAGACATAAAGTTGGATGTAATAAACGCCTCAAAACTACCACTTAGATCAGTCGTCACGGTATGGATTCCACCACCCATTATATCGGTGGAAACTATACTGGGAGTATTGGCCAAACAGAACGCTAAACTTCTAACAGACCAATGGAGGTTTGTCACCTCACTGGTGTGTAAGGAGAACTCCGGAAGGGACTTCAGATTCGCTGTGGATCAGAAATCTCTAGAATATTTGGAGGAAGTGGCTGGTGTTGCCAATTTCGGTCTTGGCACTGTCAAATTCCGTTTTTCGAAACATAAGACTAAAGAAGCTGCTGGTGGTGCAGATAAATCTACGCCAATGTGAAACAGCTTAGTCAGAATTGGTATTATTCCTCACTGACAACTAATATTGATATTTATATTAAGTATAAATGCAATTATAACTTGATTTTTCATATTAAAAAATAAATTTATTTTAAATTTTTTTAAAGGCGAATTGAAAAAAAGAAAAGATGTTATAGTTTTGACATCACCTTACCATCAATTCTCCATATAACACAAATTGTTTTGTGATTTATGTTTTTTCGTGGTTCTCTTCTATTTCACAACTAATTTTTCTATATTTTGAATAGTTTTTAGGATAATTTAATTTGTTCATTTTGCATATTGCAAAAACCGAGAATGAAAACAAAAGTTTTACATGGACCACAAAAAAAAACTTTATTTTCTTACAATTTTTATCACGCATGCTTTGAGAAAACTCTTTATTAACCTTCTTTAAAATGTTTCTCAATATCGAACAATAATAATATGCTGACGACTCGATAAAATTAAAATCACCATATCTTGCTTAATACATAATAAAGGCAACAATGATGAGTTAATTTGCTAAAAAATTTCCTGTGCTTATGATGACGCACACGATAGTTTTTTACAAATTGTCTCATTATTGTTGTCTTGTGCAGGCATTTAATACATCAGATTAAATCGCCTCTGGCGTAGACGTTTCATGCTTTTTATACCCTACACCACTAGTGGGGAGAGTATTATACGTTTGTGCTGATTTTTGTAACGCATACAAATATTGGTCCTACACCCACCTCAGAATCACTTTCTTAGTCGATTAAGATTAATAAGAGTTTTTCAGCACAAGGACGATGCCTATTGAGAATAGTTGAAATCGGTCCATTATTTCACCTAGCCCCCATACAACCTGACCTTCCGATTTTGTGTTTTTAACTCATAACTATGTCACTATCTCACAACAAGTTTTACATAAGCATAAATGACCATGCCAATTTTTATAATGATAGGCCGTCGTTTGAACCCAGCCCCCATACAAACCTCGCTTTAAAAAATTTCCTAAACGCCCACAAATTTACTTATAACCATTAGTATCGCGATGAAATTCAGCATAACTAACCTTTATATAAAATTATATCCTTCTTCCCAATTTGTTGAGGATCGGCCCATATTTGACCCTAACTGCCATATAAAGCCTCTTTTATAAATTTAGTTTTTCATTAATAAATTGCTTAAATACATCGAAATTAAGGTAAAATTCAACAAATTTTTTATGAAAAACAAATATTTTTTAAAATATACCCATGGTGTAGGGTATCATATAGTCGGCCATATCCGACTATACTTTCCTACTTGTTTTAAATACATATAGAAACTTTCAATCTATATTACAATTTAATATGACTTTTTATATGGGCTTTTAGAGCTTGTGTGTACATGAATCCCTTTTTACATATGTAACATTCGTGACGAAAACGATTTTCATGGCGCAACATATGATTAGCATAGTATTGGCGTCGTTTAAAGCTTTCACCACATATAGGACATAGAAACAACTTAAGTCCAGTATGAGAAGTTAGATGATCGTTTAATTCAGCTTGAAAAAGATAGCCTTTGCCACATATATTGCATTGATGATTGTATACCCCTAGATGACGTTTTTTATGTATTTTATATTTATGCAATTTAGAAAATGTCATTCCGCAAGACGTGCACTTAAATGGCTTCGTACCATTATGTTCAGCCAAGTGAATACAATAGGGGTCATACTTTGGTATCATTTCATTACAAATCGAACAAATGAATGGTCCTTGACATTCGCTGAGAAACGACGACAGTTTAGGATACAAATCTGATTCTGGCGTAAATTCCTTGTTTTCCATTTTACATACTAACTCTTGTTTTTTATCTTTGGAATATAATCGATTTAAATACATAATATGAGTATGTACTCCTTGAGCACTTATGTTTCTTTTCAGGTTCAACTTTATTTCTTCAGCTATTTTTCCAAGTATTTCAAATCTTGCTGGTTTAACTCCGAATGCAATATTATCTACCTTCCAAAGTTCTTCATACTTTTTATATTGTTCAATAAATAGCGGTAAAAATTGTTTGTAGATGCGCTAAAGTAAAAAATATTAAAGTAAAACTAACTTTATTCGTATTACATCATTAATATAAATTTCTCAGATATGTACATATGTATGTATGTATTAAAAATATATTTAAATTAAAAATTTTATATTTAAATTTTAAAGAATGTTACTTATAGAATTATATTTATTTTTAAATTATCCGAAATTTCAAATTTTCTGAAAATTTTAAAATAAAATATATATTTAATACATAAAAGATTGTAACAAAAGCTAATTTTAAAATATATGTATTTATTTGTTATACATAACTTACCCATGATGACGGATTTTCATTATCTTCGACCTAAAAATAAACATGAATATCTTTATCATAAATGTTTACGAAATTTGTAAAATATTTTATTTTATTTGTAAAATTGTAACAGTATTTTTTCTACGAAAATTTGTATACAACAAATTTATTTTGATTTAATATCAATAAAAGGTATATTAAAATTAATCTAATTAGTATCATAATGAGCAATATCTCAATATTATCTATAAATTTTACCTTATCCTGATTAATAAAGATGTACACAGAGTATATATGTAAATTATTATACTTACTAATTCCTTTTTAGGCTCTTTGCTGTGCTTTGCTTCTTTTTTCTATTAAAAAATATATTAAATTTATGTTTATATACATATTGTTACGAAATTGAATTTGCATTTAAACTAAACGGTTTTTAACGGCCAGTTCCCGACATTTCTTAGCGACTAACATTTGGGTGGCATCACTAAGCGTTGAAGAGGTGTGTGTCTCCACTAAACATTGACTTACATCAGTAGAAGTATCTAGATGATGGAGCCAGAATAAACTGGAAATATAAAGAAGGTGATGCCCATGTATAAATAGCGGTGGCAATCACCAAATGAGTCAGTCTGTAATAAATCGTCATTGAGTAAAGTTAATAAAGTCAAGTGTGCTTTCGTGTGTTAAAGATAAAAAGACAGCCTTACAGTCTACTATATAAGTTGTGTTATAAAAGTATTTGTGTATAAAACTGTGTAAATAAAGAGTTGTTGTAGTTTTTAACAAATTGACGCTTTTATTTGCAATAAGAAGAATCCAGTTTATTTCAAAAGGAAATAAACAAACGTTTTAAAAGGTAAAACGTAACAATTGGTGTCAGAAGCGGAATTGCATAATAAAAAGCAGTCATGAAGTTCGAAGAACTAAAAGTGGAACAACTCAAGAGAGAATTGAGTAAGATGGAGTTACCGACAGCCGGTAATAAGGCAGAATTGCAAAAGAGGCTAATAGATGAATTCAAGCGGCGTGACATTGACATAGGTACATACGAATTCGAGTACAAAGAAGAAACTGAGATATGTACTCGCTCAACAACGAGCAACATGGACTTAAACACAATGTTTGCCGCTATGATGGAGAAATTTGCTGAAGTTCAAGAAACTTCTAAGGCTAACTACGAGAAACTTCTTACTGACAACGAGAAACTTCTTACTGACAACGAGAAACTTCGAGCTGAGGTTAAAGCTGAAGTAAAGGAAACTTTTAAACACTTAGCTGAAATGGAAGCAAAATTTCAGGAAAGTTCAAGAGCCACAGAAGAAAAAATTCTGGAAGTGTCTGAGGTTATTAATAGCAGAGTAGATGGCATTGACAAAAAGGTGTCAGACTTAGAAACAAAGATGAATAATCTGCAATATCAAGAAGGAGCTGTACGAATCATTCCAGAAACCTCGGGTAGAATAAAAGCCCCTAGTTTTGATGGCACCACACCTTTTAATGTGTTCAAGTTCCAGTTTGAGACAGTTGCCATCAGAAACATGTGGAATAATGAAGAAAAAGCTATAGAATTGATCTTAGCCTTAAAAGGAGGTGCTTCAGTAGTTCTTGAGAGCGTACCAGTGAGCAACAGAAATAATTATGACGACATAATGGAAGCACTACAACGCAAGTACGGTGGAGAACATAAAAAGGAATTATACCGAATGGAATTGCGTGGCAGAGTGCAGAAGGCCAATGAGACACTACAAGACTTTGCATTGGAAATCGAGCGATTGATACAGCTTACTTATCCAGGAGAACATCACCCGTTTTTGGATATTTTCAAGATAGAGGCATTTGTAAATGGCATACGTGATCCTGAGATTAAACATGCGGTTTGTGCCACACCAAAGCCATCATTCGCTGAAACTGTCTCATTTGCGCTGGCACAAGAAACGGCTAAAATAATTTCAAAGCCACAAATATTCAAGGTACGAAATGTCGAAGTTGTCGCTGAAAACGAAAGGAATATAGTCACTGAGATAAAAGAGGCAGTTTTAGAGGCTTTAAATGAGAAACAAAATAAAGCCAAAATCAAATGCTATAACTGTGGAAAAACCGGACATATTCAGCGAAACTGCAAAGCACAAAGAAAACGTACCAGATCGGTCTCACCGCCAAGAAACAACCAACAGGTAAATCATCACTCATCACAAGAATCACCTTTAAATTAAAACGAGCTAGCACTGAGGGGCAAGAGCTAGCTCCCACATATGACGGCCCCACAATCTCCATATCAGTAATGCAGCAGAAAAATAGTAATCTAACTGCTGGTGGATACATCAATGGTCGAAAGCACATTTTTACTATAGACACAGGAGCGTCGCAGTCTATTATTAGACCAGATTTAGTTAAGAAAACAATTGAACCACTATGCGGGGTAAGATTACGCACCGCCACTGGAGAGCCTGCCACTGTCTATGGTAAAGTAAATGCGAAAGTAAACATTGCCAACATAAGCGTAGATCATTTATTTATTGTTGCCGATATCGTGGATGAGGTAATCATTGGTGCAGACTTCATGATTATGCATGGCATTAAATTACATTTGGGACCAAATGTTATGATTTGGCGTAATGTTGAAATACCTCTTGATGTCGGATATCAAAGCAAGGCTCAAGTAAAAAAACTAGTTGCTATTGAACATGAAAAATTGCCTCCACAGTCAGAGGTTTTGATATGGGCCCGTATGGAGGGAGATTGTGAGGACAACAGTTTGTGGGTAGTAGAACCAGCAGAAATAAAAAGTGATATTGTAACAGCTAAAGCCCTCGTCAAACCCTGTAAAAACAAAATAGTTCCCGTAAGAGTTCTTAACTTGTCCAGCTTTGAAAAAGTCATAAAGCCAAATTCCGAACTAGGTCAATGTGCTTCAGCAGAGGCTGTAGTCAACTGTGTGGAAAATCCTGCAAATAAATCCATCAAGGAACATGAGCTACTAGCGGAATATGTGGGAAAATGGGTAGAAAAGCTAGCGCCGTCAGATAAAAATAAAGCCAAACAACTTCTGAAGAGACATGCATCTGTCTTTGCTTTAAAAAGTGAAAATCAAGGTAGAACAGCAATTGTAAAACATCAAATAGATACTGGCGATGCGAGACCAATAAAGCAGGCCCCCAGAAGTATTCCTTTAGCAAAACGAAGCGAAGTGAAAGAGTTAGTGAACGAAATGGAGCGGAACGGCGTAATCGAACCATCTTCTAGTCCTTGGAGCTCGCCCGTGGTTTTAGTTAAGAAGAAAGATGGCAGCACAAGATTCTGCGTAGATTACAGAAAGCTGAATGATGTCACCAAGAAAGACAGCTATCCGCTACCTAGAATTGATGATACTCTGGACACGCTAGCTGGAACAAAATGGTTCTCCACATTGGACTTGCAAAGTGGATATTGGCAAGTAGAGATTGCAGGCAAAGACAAAGAGAAAACTGCATTTAGTGCTAGTGACGGATTATGGCAGTTTAATGTAATGCCCTTTGGACTCTGCAATGCTCCAGCAACATTCGAGCGCTTAATGGAACATGTATTAAAAGGACTTCATGGAAAGACATGTTTGGTGTATCTCGATGACATAATTGTCATGGGAAATACTTTTAATGAACACCTTAAAAACCTTGAAGAAGTCCTTAAAAGAATATCAGCGGCTGGACTAAAACTCAGTGTAAAGAAATGTGCATTGTTTCAGAAGGAAGTGAAATATTTGGGGCATCGCGTAACAGCAGATGGAATATCAACAGATGAAGATAAAATAATAGTTGTAAAAGACTGGCCACGGCCGAAAAATCTCCATGAATTGCGAAGTTTTCTTGGCCTCTGTACGTACTACAGACGATTTGTTCCAAATTTCGCCAGTGTAGCTGCAAGCTTACATGAATTGACCAAGAAGTCGCAACCATTCCATTGGGGTGAAGCACAAGAATTAGCATTCCAAAAGCTCAAGGATCTCTTATGTAAGGCACCAATTTTGTCATATCCCATACCTGGAGAAAAGTTTGTGCTGGATAGTGATGCTAGTGGATACGGAATAGGCGGTGTGCTTTCCCAAGTAATCGATGGAACTGAAAGAGTCATCGGATACTTCAGCCGAACGCTTTCAAAGCCTGAGAGAAACTACTGCGTTACTCGTCGCGAACTCCTAGCAGTAGTTGAGTGTGTCAAACACTACCATAAGTATCTATATGGGCAACACTTCCAACTGAGAACCGATCACTCTGCCCTCAGGTGGTTGCTGCAATTTAAAGAACCTGAAGGGCAACTGGCTCGTTGGATTGAACGCCTTCAGTCTTATGATTTTAGCATTGAGCACAGGAAAGGTGTAAAACATGGTAATGCGGATGCTCTATCGAGAAGACCATGCACCGTGGAATGCAGGCATTGCACAAAGGCTGAGGTAAAAGAAAGCGTCATCGATGTTCGGCTAACCCATATAGATTCCACTGAAGATTGGTCTGAAGCGCAAAGGGATGACCCCTTACTGGCAAAGATAATATCGGCTAAAGTAGAAGGCAAAAGACCAGCCCGCAATGAAATATCTGCAGAAAGTCCATTAATGAAATCCTATTGGGCTCTATGGAATAGTCTACAAGTGTTAAATGGCTGCCTATACCGAATATGGGAAAGTGCAGACGGAAAAACGGTGACAAATCTAATTGTGGTACCTGCCTCTAAAATAAATGAAGTATTGAAAGAGTTCCATGACGGTCCAAGTGGTGGACATCTTGGCGTGACGAAAACCATAGAAAAGGTAAAACAACGGTTTTATTGGGTCGGTTGTCAACAATCGGTAGCCGATTGGATTTCAAATTGTCCACAATGCATAGCAGCCAAAGGTCCAGTAAGAAAAAGTCGTGGACGACTTCAGCAGTACAACTCAGGAGCGCCATTTGAGAGGATTGCAATGGATGTAGCAGGCCCTTTTCCTGTTAGTGATGCCGGAAACCGTTATATTCTAGTGGTTATGGATTATTTCAGCAAATGGCCAGAGGTGTATGCCATCCACAACCAGGAAGCTAAAACAGTCGTAGGTGTGTTTGTGAACAACTGGATATGTCGTTATGGTGTACCATTGGAGTTACATTCGGACCAGGGCAGAAATTTTGAATCCGCTGTGTTCAAAGAAATGTGCGATTTATACGGAATAAGAAAAACAAGAACAACTCCACTGCATCCTCAATCAGATGGCATGGTCGAAAGATTCAATCGCACACTGGAGGAATATTTGAGAAAAGTGGTTAGTGCACATCAGAAGGACTGGGATGAACACATACCAAAATTTCTGCTGGCCTACCGAACAGCCGTTCACGACTCCACCTCTCGAACACCTGCAAAAATTATTTTCGGAACAGAACTCAAGCTGCCTGGTGATTTAGAATTTGGTATAAAGCCGTCATCAAAAAGTAAGGATGATGAAAACTTTTCCCAAGAGCAAGATGACCTTAATGAACTTCATGAATTCGTGCGGAGACGAATAAAAATGACTAGTGATAAAATGAAGGCCAGATACGATCGAGCAGTAAATTCTGAAGGATTTACCGAAGGCCAGTTAGTACTACTGTATAGCCCACAACGTAAAAAAGGTTTATCCCCTAAACTGCAAACTCACTGGGAAGGACCGTATGTGGTGATTAAGAAATTAAACGACGTAGTCTACCGAATACAGAAATATAAGAGCCCGAGAAGCAAAATGAAGGTTGTACACCTAGAACGACTAGCTGCCTATGGGAAAGGTGAATCTGTGCCTATTCGGGACGAACAGGCTTAAGCGGGGGACAGTGTTACGAAATTGAATTTGCATTTAAACTAAACGGTTTTTAACGGCCAGTTCCCGACATTTCTTAGCGACTAACATTTGGGTGGCATCACTAAGCGTTGAAGAGGTGTGTGTCTCCACTAAACATTGACTTACATCAGTAGAAGTATCTAGATGATGGAGCCAGAATAAACTGGAAATATAAAGAAGGTGATGCCCATGTATAAATAGCGGTGGCAATCACCAAATGAGTCAGTCTGTAATAAATCGTCATTGAGTAAAGTTAATAAAGTCAAGTGTGCTTTCGTGTGTTAAAGATAAAAAGACAGCCTTACAGTCTACTATATAAGTTGTGTTATAAAAGTATTTGTGTATAAAACTGTGTAAATAAAGAGTTGTTGTAGTTTTTAACAAATTGACGCTTTTATTTGCAATAAGAAGAATCCAGTTTATTTCAAAAGGAAATAAACAAACGTTTTAAAAGGTAAAACGTAACAATATATAAAATTTATAGTACTTACAATTTCCTTTTTGAGGTTCTTAGACTTTTTCTTGGTATTTTTTTCTTTTTCAATCTAAAAATTATGGACAAAAAATAGTTAACATTTATTTGTTAAGTAATTAAAAAAACATAATACTATTTACACAAATAACATTTTTAATACTTACATCGAAATCAGAATCATCTGAATTATTGCTGCTTACACCGGATACATCAGACTAAAATCAAAAAGATAATTTGCATTATTAACTTCAACCATAATCAGAAGGATTGATTTTGTCATTTCGTTTGAAAGACATTGAAATGTCAGTAGTTGGACCTCATTAGAAATTTCGAGTTTTTATTAGATTCTACCCATCTCGTATGACTGTCTAAAAGGCACCGAACGGGAAAAGCTTGTGAGCTTAAATTCTCCAAAATATTGTTTGGTACTGAAATGGACAACATCACCTTCGGGTCTTCCAGTACTTTCAACAGATTTTTATATGAATGGACTTCTATTTCATATATTGGATATTTAAACAACAAAAAAAACATATTTAAGACTTACGTTTCTTTGTTTTGTTTTCGTCTTTTTTGAATTTCTTTTAATTTTACAATTTGTAGTATTATTGTCTTTTATTTGATCGTTGCAATCTTCAAAGCCCATAACATAATCATCACTTTCGTGTTCATCGTAGGATGCATTCTCGTTTGTTTCTAAGTCAGGCATCTTATTTTCCATCTTTTCAATTTTCAATACATCATTTTTTGTCTCATCCACTAAATAATCATTAGTTTCTACTTTTATCACCTTTAAAGGATCACAATACACATTAGTATCAATGGAATTATTTGGAATAATTGCGTCACTATCTGCCTTAACAATGTAAATTTGCTGATCCACTTTAAAATCCTCAGGATCAGAAGAAAGACTAGAACTTTCAGATTCAATTTTTACTGGATCATTTTTTAATACCTCGTCAAAATTTAGAAAATGTTCCTCTTCTAGGTGTTTTGTAAATTTTTTTAATTGTTCACAATCAATATTACAAAAAACACAGCGATATGTATATGATTTTGTTTTATACTTAATTTTTTCAATATCAATTAAAAGTTCTCCACATTTTTGAAGATCTGAATTTTTGTTTGCACCCATTTTAGTAATATTTAGCCACAAAAAACTATTTTATAAAATAAAATTGTACATATGTAAATAAACAAAACAAAAACCAATATTGGCAACTTTCAGCAAAATATAAACAAAATTTAGTAGCGATTATATATAAAATTTAATGCTAAAATCACTAAATTGATATACTATCTTGAAGTGAACATACCCCCTTTGGAAAAATGTAAATACACAATAGTACTTGATGTAAATAAAAAAATTTGGAAAATCTATTGCATGTTAAAAAAAAAAAAATAAATTTTAATAAAATGGGTGCTAATAATTTGTCTAATCTTCAAAAATGCGGTGAAATATTAATAGATATAAAAACAAAAAATAGAAAAAACAAAATATACATTTTTCATTGCACATTTTGCGACATACAGTGTGATCAATTAAAGAAGTTTTCCCTTCACCTTGGCGAAGCGCATTTAAATAATTCTGAAGACATTTTAAAGGAGTCGGAGCTAAAATTGGAAACAGAACCAGAAGAGGTCAGAATTAATAACCCCACAGACATAGAGAGTACAGATATTAAGAAAGATTTCGGTAGTACCGTACAAAACAGTACATATATAAATTCAGATCCTTTAGATACAATAGACCACCCATTAAGACCAAATTTAAATCATGACACTGTAAATTATGTTATCAAATGCGAATTAAAAGAAAACTCTAATGATGGAAGTACTTATTGCGAAAAGTATGAAATGGACTGCGCTTTATCCACAGCTGCCAGTGATGATGAAGCCAATGAAAAACTTGATATTTCAAATTTTTCCAGTGGCTATAGTGAGGATGAAATAAAAGAAGATGCAGATGAAATGCCGCTTAAAAAATTAAAACTTAATTTTACGAAAGGGCGTAAAAGAGTGAAGCAAAAGGTAGTATAAAATAACTATTCTGTCGGTAATAACATATGTATACATCAATATAACTTTTTTTTCTAGACACATAAAAATGAAATGGGCACTGATGAATCTAAAGATGCTGAAGATAATGTAAATATTTTTCCTTTATTTTTTAAAATAGCTTGTGTTGTAAATTTTCGGAAGGCGACTCTATAGATGGACTGAGGTCTTTAAGAATCTTCATTTTGGGATTTTATGGTGTGTTGTGTGTCAATTTTGAGCCAAAATTTACAGAACTCAAAATATTCAGTTTATACTATTTCTTTACAATTTGATCTTAATACCATTACTGTTATTGGGAGGTAGGGACAATGATTAACCCATGGTCATAAAAGATTTTGATTTCATAAAACTTGTTAAGGTCGAATTTCATTGCTATACTGCTATTTGTAAGCCAGTTATGAACGTTATTCGTTTTATGAAAGGACCTTATATAGGGGCAAGTACCTTTTCTAATTACATAAGACAAACTTCTTCAAAATTTTATCACTATTGTTAATCAACATAAAATAGAAATTTATAGAGAATATATCTTTTATGAGTTCGATGTCACCTAAAACGACTATTAATTTAAGGAATGAATTTGACACACTTCAAAACACCTTGTGTTTTTTAAATTTGTTAAAAACAAAATGCCAAAATTAATATAACGCCAAAAATGTGGGGACAAAGTTATAACTATTATTTTTTCAGTCTAATATATCCGATGTAAGCACCGATGATTCACGTGATTCCGATTTCGATGTAAGTATTAAACATATTAATTTATGTAATTGTATTTTTTGTATTATTTAACATATTAATTAATGTTAACTATTACTCTAACTTTTATTTTTAGATTGAAAAAGAACTATATACCGATAAAAAGTCTATGAACCCCAAAAAGCATATTGTAAGTACTATGCATTTTTATACATATAAGCTTTAAATCAATCTAAAATATGTATTATTGTCTTATCATAGAAAAAAGAAGCAAAACAAAGAAAAGAGTCGAAACAAAAATTAGTAAGTATAATATAAGTATTATTTATTTTTTTATTTATTGTGTGTAGGTATACATCTCCAAGATAAATTTTGTAGAAAATATTATCTAAATTTTATATTTACACAATTTGTGTTTTAATAGATGTAATATAAGAAATATTTCTAATTATTCTTAAATAATTTTAATTTTGATTAAATATATATTTCTGTAATTTCAGGTTGCAAATAATCAAAACTCAACTCAAAAGGTACTTTTTATAAAATATGAATTTACTAGTTTTGAACACATTATTTACATTAGAGCAGTCTAATTTAAATACAGTGATTAGCAATCAATCTTTTTTATTTTTATATTTTAAAATTGAATGAGAAATTTCTAAAATTGAACTAAAAATTTATGAGATTTATTAGAATTTGTGTAGTTGAATTAGAAATTTATAAAATTCATTAGAATTGGTTATACAAATGTTTAAGATAAGCTTCTTTTATCGTCAGTTTCCCTAGATCTAGTTTCGAGAAAGACAATTTTGAACAAAAAACAATTTTTATTAAGTAAACAAATATAAATGCAAAACAAAAAGTGTATAGTTTCAATATAATTTATTATTTATTTTATAGATGTATTTTATTTTTAAGTTATTTAAAAATATTTTCAAGATTTCTTCTCGCTTTGCTGAAATCTTTATATAATTTTAGGAAGAAAAGGAATCGAATACAATAAAAAAACATAAAAGATGTAAAAAGCGTTGGGTAAGTTTTAGAATCACTAACTTTATCACTTTTCTATCATAAAAACATTTTTTATTTTTATTGCTTTAGAAAAATATCGATGATTCAGAACTACCCGTACTAATTGAAATGTACAAAAAGTATGAAGTTCTATGGCAAGTTAATGACATTGCATTTGGTATTTTACCCAAAAGAAACGAAACTTTTGGCAAAATGATTGAGGAATTAAAAGCAAATCATAACTTCGATAAGAATCTAGATGAACTACAAGATTATATCGATTATATAAATTACATATTTTTTAAAGATAAAGAAAAAGAACTTAAATGTGAATTAGATAAAACCGAGTTTACACCGTCATCAAAATTTTATAAAGAACTGTTATTTCTAAGCGATAGCCAAGGTCCATTTAAATGTTCAAATTGTGATGAGATTATTGCAAAATACGATCGTTATCACATACATGTAGCTCAGCACAATGGTACGATACCATTCCAATGTCGTCTTTGTGAGATGGGTTTTCAGAAATTCGACAACTATATAAGGCATGTAACCAGACATTTAGGCATTAATAGCTACCACTGTAATGTGTGCGGTAAAGGTTATCCATTTAAATCAGAGTTAGACTGGCATTTAACGTCGCACACGGGAGTAAAACCCTACTTATGTCCAATATGTGGTGCTGGATTTAGAGCACGTCACGGTTATGACAATCATATAAGACGACACGAAAAACGTTTTCGTTATGAATGTCATATATGCAAACATGGCTTTAATCATTTATGTAAACTCAATACTCATATTAAATCTCATCTTAATATACGTGATGTCATATGCAATGTATGTGGCAAAGGTTTTACTGCAGCTAAATATCTACATAGACACAAACTTATACACGAGGAAGAAAAGCGCTACAAGTGCAATGTATGCGGTAAGGCATTTGCCCAAGATTCTGGACTACGAACACATCGAAAACAACATCAACCCTATGCCACGATAGCGGAGAATAAAAATTTATTAAATGTATTTAAATAGTGTAATATAATTTTGAATATAAATAATTTATTAAATAAAAAATTAAAGCTATTTGAACTATATACAATTTCTACATCGCAACAAAAATTTTAATCGAGAAGAAAAGATTGTTTTGGTGACTCAAAACAATTTTTATTAGTAAAAATATTTGTTTAATTGTTTGAGAATTCAATTGCGAGACAAACTTATAAAAACGAAAAAAGTGAGCAAGTGATACTGATATGCAGGTATTAAACTTATTAATAAACTAGATGATTTTTTATATAGAAAAACTTTTAATAAATACGCACTCAGCAAAAACATGATAATATCTGCATTACATAGAAAAAATTTTGCAATTTCTTACAAATAATATAATTTTTTTAGGCTTGACATATGGTGTCCATAATTCGGATTTACAACAACTTTTACTCCAAATATTGAAAAAATTTTATAATTTTTAAAAGTAATATTCTTTATATTTATTTTATACAGGAAATTTTTAAAATTTTTACATACATTTAATTTTTTTCTTCATAAATATTTATGAACTTACAATAAGTTATATTTATTTTGTTCCTTTTGAATACTACTAATGCCAATGGGAGTTCCATGGTATTTTTTATGAGCCCTTAGGCCAGCATCCTGAGCAAAGCTTTTCCCACATATATTACAACTATAATTTTTACCTTCATGTATACGCTTATGATGATTTAAATATTTACGGCTAGTAAAACCCTTACCACAGACCGTACATATAACATCACGGACATTGAGATGGGCTTTGACATGGTCATTAAGGCGTGTCATATGATTGAACCCTTTTTTACATATATGGCAAAAATATTTAAATCTTTCCTCATGACGTCGTATATGATTATCGTAACTAATGGCTGTACGAAACCCTTCGCCGCATACCGAACATAAATATGGTTGGGCTCCAGTGTGTGAACGCATATGAAGATCTAGTTCAGCATTAAAGGGATACCCCTTCCCACAGATTTCGCAATGAAATTTAAAGACGCGCAAATGCCGTTTCGCGTGTATGGTGTAGTTAGTAACTTTTTTGAAGCCCATGCCACATTCCTGACATTTGAATGGTACGGAGCCATCATGTTGCGATTTGTGTACTTGAAAGTCATTATAAGTTTCAATGATTTCATTGCAGTTGGGGCATTTGAAAGGTCCTTGATTGCTTTCCAAAAAGTCACATTTATTAAAGTATGAACATGATGGATGAAAATCCTCTTGTTTTATTTGACATTCCAATCTGTGGTGTTTATCCTTAGCAAATGATTTGTGTATAAAATGTAAGTGCTTTTCTAATTTGTATATATCTAAAGTAAGATTCATTTTAGTATTAATATCTTCCAACATAGACTCCATAGTTTCATGTCTTTTATCCTTAACTGTATAAGCTAAATGATTAACATCCCATAAACTGTTGTAGTTTTTGTAAATATCAATTAAATCAGATAAGAGATTATCATTTAAAGGTTTCTGGAATGAAATACAAGTTGAATTAATTACATAGAAATGAGTGAATGTTAAAATATTTTTTATAAATTTCTTTCTTATGTACATGTATGTATGTACTTATTAAAATATTTTCTCCCAACTTACCACTTTATGTTTTGGTTTTTTCTGCAATAAGAAAGGAAACTTTATTACAACTATTATATTAAGCAATATATAAATATCATACCCTTTTTAGTTTTAATTTGTTTTCAATTGTGGATTTCAGAAAACTCATATTTTCAAAGAACCATAATTCTGAATTCTGCGACTCATTGCTATTGTCATTCTCGTTGATTTGTCTTTCAATTTCTTTTTCGTACTGCTTGCAAATAAAATTTAACTTTTTCTTAACCATGTATAATTTTAATTTCATCTTTAGGTGTGCATTCAATTCGTCTGTTATATTTTGTAGTATATCTTCTTTCTGCTTCAAATTACATCTTTCCGTAAGTGTCGTATCCCAGAGTTGTGGATTTTTATAGTACGCATCAATAAGACCCAAAATTAGTTCCTTTTCTTTTGCCTTTGCATTTTGTTTAAATGGTTTCATTAGTTTTTCATCGACATTGTCCTCAATTTTAAAATCACTATCAGAAGAATATTCACCGCTTAAATCTGAATGATCTTCATGCTGAAAAAAATAAATTTATTTGGTGTTTTATTGTTAATTACAATACAATCTAATGGTATTTACTTGTTCATCTGCTGAAAAGTAATGCATTTCTACATCTTCTGTTGGTTGTATATTTTCAAAGCACTCATTTCTATCTGATTTCAAAGAATTTTGGTCAACCAATACTTCAGAAATGGACAATGAAATTCCATCATGATTATCTTCAAAGGTCTCAAGAGGGTCTTGGAATCTTGGTATTACTTCTTCCTAAAAATATATACATATGTATGCAAAAAGTGAATTATGTTAATTTTCAGCTTAGTATAAATCATTTTTTTTATAATTATTGCATTTTCAATTTTATATGTATAAACTTTACCTTTTTGTTGCATCCCTTTATAACTTGTGACTTTTCCTCATCCGTTTCGGACTTAATATCTTCATTGACACAATCTTCTACTTTAATTTCTCCAACTAATGTATTATCGACATTATTTAATTTTTCAATATCAGATTTATGAGCATTTTCTTGTTTATATTGATCAGTAACAATAGAAATTGCATGTTGCAATTCAGTAACATGTTCCTGTTCAAGATGCAAAGTGAATTTTTTCATTTGTATACAAATGGTGTCACAAAACCAGCAATTGAATGAATAAACATTTTTGGCATTCTTTTTCATTGTGATTATAATTTCTCCACACTTTTTGCTAACAGTATTATAGTTAGAAACACTTGTACTTGACATTTTTATTAAAATATATGTTTGCTAATTTTCTTTTAATTTTTTAGCTAAAGGTCCAAATTTAGAAATGTTTACTTTTTGTACGTGGTATGTTCAGTTAAGTATGATTTTTAAAGAGTATGTTCAATAGTAAAAGTGGGTTTAAAGAAAAGAATATGTTTAAAGTTATTATTACACGATATGTTTTTGATATGGTTCTGAAATCGACTTTTTGTGTTCAAAAGTTGAAGTTGAATATTTTCTACTAACTTATAAAATCATTACGCACATAAAGAAAACAACCCGACGAAAAATAAAACAAACCGTAACAGCTGTTTTATCAAAATAAACATTTTTTTTGGTGTGGTGAGTTATTTTTGTTTACAAATATGTGTTTCTGCACGTGGAAAAGACGCAAAAACTCGTTTTCATTATTTACATTTTCAATATGTGTTTATGCACGTGGAAAAAATTCAAAAAAATTGATTTTCATGATTTACATTAAAAAAAATATTTTTGATCAATTAAAATAAGTGTATAAATGTGGAAAGGATCAAATCTGATAAAATATAAATATATTTGGGATTATATCGTTACAGAATGCCTTTTAATAAAAAACATTCAAAAAATGTTACTATGGTCATATATATAAAATGATATATAACTGCTATCGGACGATCTTGTGCACGATAAAAACCTATATAGAACTTTAAGTTGGAAGTGTAGAAATCGGATGGCATACATTTTTTCCGGATTTCATCGTTCTAGGGTGTGTACTACAACAACAAACTTTTTTTTTACAAAAAAAGTTACTATAGCCCTATATATAAAATGATATATAACTGCTATCGGACGATCTTGTGCACGACAAAAACCTATATAGAACTTTAAGTTGGAAGTGTAGAAATCGGATGACATACATTTTTTTCCGGATTTCATCGTTCTAGGGTGTGTACTACAACAACAAACTTTTTTTTTACAAAAAATATAACTATGGCCGTATATATAAAATGATATATAACTGCTATCGGACGATCTTGTGCACGATAAAAACCTATATAGAACTTTAAGTTGGAAGTGTAGAAATCGGATGGCATACATTTTTTTCCGGATTTCATCGTTCTAGGGTGTGTACTACAACAACAAACTTTTTTTTTACAAAAAATGTTACTATAGCCGTATATATAAAATGATATATAAGTGCTATCGGACGATCTTGTGCACGACAAAAACCTATATAGAACTTTAAGTTGGAAGTGTAGAAATCGGATGGCATACATTTTTTTCCGGATTTCATCGTTCTAGGGTGTGTACTACAACAACAAACTTTTTTTTTACAAAAAATGTTACTATAGCCGTATATATAAAATGATATATAAGTGCTATCGGACGATCTTGTGCACGATTAAAACCTATATAGAACTTTAAGTTGGAAGTGTAGAAATCGGATGGCATAAATTTTTTTCCGGATTTCATCGTTCTAGGGTGTGTACTACAACAACAAACTTTTTTTTTACAAAAAATGTTACTATAGCCGTATATATAAAATGATATATAAGTGCTATCGGACGATCTTGTGCACGATTAAAACCTATATAGAACTTTAAGTTGGAAGTGTAGAAATCATATGGCATACATTTTTTTCCGGATTTCATCGTTCTAGGGTGTGTACTACAACAACAAACTTTTTTTTTACAAAAAATGTTACTATAGCCGTATATATAAAATGATATATAAGTGCTATCGGACGATCTTGTGCACGACAAAAACCTATATAGAACTTTAAGTTGGAAGTGTAGAAATCGGATGGCATACATTTTTTTCCGGATTTCATCGTTCTAGGGTGTGTACTACAACAACAAATTTTTTTTTTACAAAAAATGTTATTATGGCCGTATATATAAAATTATATATAAGTGCTATCGGACGATCTTGTGCACGATAAAAACCTATATAGAACTTTAAGTTGGAAGTGTAGAAATCGGATGGCATACATTTTTTTCCGGATTTCATCGTTCTAGGGTGTGTACTACAACAACAAACTTTTTTTTACAAAAAATGTTACTATAGCCGTATATATAAAATGATATATAACTGCTATCGGACGATCTTGTGCACCATAAAAACCTATATAGAACTTTAAGTTGGAAGTGTAGAAATCGGATGGCATACATTTTTTTCCGGATTTCATCGTTCTAGGGTGTGTACTACAACAACAAACTTTTTTTTTTACAAAAAATGTTATTATGGCCGTATATATAAAATGATATATAAGTGCTATCGGACGATCTTGTGCACGATAAAAACCTATATAGAACTTTAAGTTGGAAGTGTAGAAATCGGATGGCATACATTTTTTTCCGGATTTCATCGTTCTAGGGTGTGTACTACAACAACAAACTTTTTTTTTTACAAAAAATGTTACTATAGCCGTATATATAAAATGATATATAAGTGCTATCGGACGATCTTGTGCACGATAAAAACCTATATAGAACTTTAAGTTGGAAGTGTAGAAATCATATGGCATACATTTTTTTCCGGATTTCATCGTTCTAGGGTGTGTACTACAACAACAAACTTTTTTTTTACAAAAAATGTTACTATAGCCGTATATATAAAATGATATATAAGTGCTATCGGACGATCTTGTGCACGACAAAAACCTATATAGAACTTTAAGTTGGAAGTGTAGAAATCGGATGGCATACATTTTTTTCCGGATTTCATCGTTCTAGGGTGTGTACTACAACAACAAACTTTTTTTTTACAAAAAAATGTTATTATGGAAGTATATATAAATTGATATATAACTGTAATCGGACGATCTTGTGCACGACAAAAACCTATATAGAACTTTAAGTTGGAAGTGTAGAAATCGGATGACATACATTTTTTTCCGGTTTTCATCGTTCTAGGGTGTGTACTACAACAACAAACTTTTTTTTACAAAAAATGTTACTATGGCCGTATATATAAAATGATATATAACTGCTATCGGACGATCTTGTGCACGATAAAAACCTATATAGAACTTTAAGTTGGAAGTGTAGAAATCGGATGGCATACATTTTTTTCCGGATTTCATCGTTCTAGGGTGTGTACTACAACAACAAACTTTTTTTTTACAAAAAATGTTACTATAGCCGTATATATAAAATGATATATAACTGCTATCGGACGATCTTGTGCACGACAAAAACCTATATAGAACTTTAAGTTGGAAGTGTAGAAATCGGATGGCATACATTTTTTTCCGGATTTCATCGTTCTAGGGTGTGTACTACAACAACAAACTTTTTTTTTACAAAAAATGTTATGGCCGTATATATAAAATGATATATAAGTGCTATCGGACGATCTTGTGCACGATAAAAACCTATATAGAACTTTAAGTTGGAAGTGTAGAAATCATATGGCATACATTTTTTTCCGGATTTCATCGTTCTAGGGTGTGTACTACAACAACAAACTTTTTTTTTTACAAAAAATGTTACTATAGCCGTATATATAAAATGATATATAACTGCTATCGGACGATCTTGTGCACGACAAAAACCTATATAGAACTTTAAGTTGGAAGTGTAGAAATCGGATGGCATACATTTTTTTCCGGATTTCATCGTTCTAGGGTGTGTACTACAACAACAAACTTTTTTTTTACAAAAAATGTTACTATAGCCGTATATATAAAATGATATATAACTGCTATCGGACGATCTTGTGCACGATAAAAACCTATATAGAACTTTAAGTTGGAAGTGTAGAAATCGGATGGCATACATTTTTTTCCGGATTTCATCGTTCTAGGGTGTGTACTACAACAACAAACTTTTTTTTTACAAAAAATGTTACTATAGCCGTATATATAAAATGATATATAACTGCTATCGGACGATCTTGTGCACGATAAAAACCTATATAGAACTTTAAGTTGGAAGTGTAGAAATCGGATGGCATACATTTTTTTCCGGATTTCATCGTTCTAGGGTGTGTACTACAACAACAAACTTTTTTTTTACAAAAAATGTTACTATAGCCGTATATATAAAATGATATATAACTGCTATCGGACGATCTTGTGCACGACAAAAACCTATATAGAACTTTAAGTTGGAAGTGTAGAAATCGGATGGCATACATTTTTTTCCGGATTTCATCGTTCTAGGGTGTGTACTACAACAACAAACTTTTTTTTTACAAAAAATGTTATTATGGCCGTATATATAAAATGATATATAAGTGCTATCGGACGATCTTGTGCACGATAAAAACCTATATAGAACTTTAAGTTGGAAGTGTAGAAATCGGATGGCATACATTTTTTTCCGGATTTCATCGTTCTAGGGTGTGTACTACAACAACAAACTTTTTTTTTACAAAAAATGTTATTATGGCCGTATATATAAAATGATATATAAGTGCTATCGGACGATCTTGTGCACGACAAAAACCTATATAGAACTTTAAGTTGGAAGTGTAGAAATCGGATGGCATACATTTTTTTCCGGATTTCATCGTTCTAGGGTGTGTACTACAACAACAAACTTTTTTTTTACAAAAAATGTTACTATAGCCGTATATATAAAATGATATATAACTGCTATCGGACGATCTTGTGCACGATAAAAACCTATATAGAACTTTAAGTTGGAAGTGTAGAAATCGGATGGCATACATTTTTTTCCGGATTTCATCGTTCTAGGGTGTGTACTACAACAACAAACTTTTTTTTTACAAAAAATGTTATTATGGAAGTATATATAAATTGATATATATCTGCTATCGGACGATCTTGTGCACGATAAAAACCTACATAGAACTTTAAGTTGGAAGTGTAGAAATCAGATGAAAAAATTTTTTTTCCAGATTCCATCGTTCTAGGGTTTGTACTGCAACAACAAACTTTTTTTTTACACAAAATGTTAATATGGCCGTATATATAAAATGATATATAACTGCTATCGGACGATCTTGTGCACGATAAAAACCTATATAGAACTTTAAGTTGGAAGTGTGGAAATCGGATGGCATACATTTTTTTCCGGATTTCATCGTTCTAGGGTGTGTACTACAACAACAAACTTTTTTTTTACAAAAAAATGTTATTATGGAAGTATATATAAATTGATATATAACTGTAATCGGACGATCTTGTGCACGACAAAAACCTATATAGAACTTTAAGTTGGAAGTGTAGAAATCGGATGACATACATTTTTTTCCGGTTTTCATCGTTCTAGGGTGTGTACTACAACAACAAACTTTTTTTTACAAAAAATGTTACTATGGCCGTATATATAAAATGATATATAACTGCTATCGGACGATCTTGTGCATGATAAAAACCTATATAGAACTTTAAGTTGGAAGTGTAGAAATCAGATGACAAACATTTTTTTCCGGATTTCATCGTTCTAGGGTGTGTACTTCAACAACAAACTTTTTTTTTACAAAAAATGTTATTATGGAAGTATATATAAATTGATATATAACTGCTATCGGACGATCTTGTGCACGATAAAAACCTATATAGAACTTTAAGCTGGAAGTGTAGAAATCGGATGACATACATTTTTTTCCGGATTTCATCGTTCTAGGGTGTGTACTACAACAACAAACTTTTTTTTTACAAAAAATGTTACTATGGCCGTATATATAAATTGATATATAACTGCTATCGGACGATCTTCTGCACGATAAAGACCTATATAGAACTTTAATTTGGAAGTGTAGAAATCGGATGGCATACATTTTCTTCCGGATTTCATCGTTCTAGGGTGTGTACTACAACAACAAACTTTTTTTTTACAAAAAATGTTATTATGGAAGTATATATAAATTGATATATATCTGCTATCGGACGATCTTGTGCACGATAAAAACCTATATAGAACTTTAAGCTGGAAGTGTAGAAATCGGATGACATACATTTTTTCCGGATTTCATCGTTCTAGGGTGTGTACTACAACAACAAACTTTTTTTTTACAAAAAAATGTTATTATGGAAGTATATATAAATTGATATATAACTGCTATCGGACGATCTTGTGCATAATAAAAACCTATATAGAACTTTAAGTTGGAAGTGTAGAAATCGGATGGCATACATTTTTTTCCGGATTTCATCGTTCTAGGGTGTGTACTACAACAACAAACTTTTTTTTTACAAAAAATGTTACTATAGCCGTATATATAAAATGATATATAAGTGCTATCGGACGATCTTGTGCACGACAAAAACCTATATAGAACTTTAAGTTGGAAGTGTAGAAATCGGATGGCATACAGTTTTTTCCGGATTTCATCGTTCTAGGGTGTATACTACAACAACAAACTTTTTTTTTACAAAAAATGTTACTATAGCCGTATATATAAAATGATATATAAGTGCTATCGGACGATCTTGTGCACGACAAAAACCTATATAGAACTTTAAGTTGGAAGTGTAGAAATCGGATGGCATACATTTTTTTCCGGATTTCATCGTTCTAGGGTGTGTACTACAACAACAAACTTTTTTTTTACAAAAAATGTTACTATAGCCGTATATATAAAATGATATATAAGTGCTATCGGACGATCTTGTGCATGACAAAAACCTATATAGAACTTTAAGTTGGAAGTGTAGAAATCGGATGGCATACATTTTTTTCCGGATTTCATCGTTCTAGGGTGTGTACTACAACAACAAACTTTTTTTTTACAAAAAATGTTACTATAGCCGTATATATAAAATGATATATAACTGCTATCGGACGATCTTGTGCACGATAAAAACCTATATAGAACTTTAAGTTGGAAGTGTAGAAATCGGATGGCATACATTTTTTTCCGGATTTCATCGTTCTAGGGTGTGTACTACAACAACAAACTTTTTTTTTTACAAAAAATGTTACTATAGCCGTATATATAAAATGATATATAACTGCTATCGGACGATCTTGTGCACGATAAAAACCTATATAGAACTTTAAGTTGGAAGTGTAGAAATCGGATGGCATACATTTTTTTCCGGATTTCATCGTTCTAGGGTGTGTACTACAACAACAAACTTTTTTTTACAAAAAATGTTATTATGGCCGTATATATAAATTGATATATAACTGCTATCGGACGATCTTGTGCACGATAAAGACCTATATAGAACTTTAAGTTGGAAGTGTAGAAATCGGATGACATACATTTTTTTCCGGATTTCATCGTTCTAGGGTGTGTACTACAACAACAAACTTTTTTTTACAAAAAATGTTATTATGGCCGTATATATAAAATGATATATAAGTGCTATCGGACGATCTTGTGCACGATAAAAACCTATATAGAACTTTAAGTTGGAAGTGTAGAAATCGGATGGCATACATTTTTTCCGGATTTCATCGTTCTAGGGTGTGTACTACAACAACAAACTTTTTTTTTACAAAAAATGTTATTATGGCCGTATATATAAATTGATATATAACTGCTATCGGACGATCTTGTGCACGATAAAGACCTATATAGAACTTTAAGTTGGAAGTGTAGAAATCGGATGACATACATTTTTTTCCGGATTTCATCGTTCTAGGGTGTGTACTACAACAACAAACTTTTTTTTTACAAAAAATGTTATTATGGAAGTATATATAAAATGATATATAACTGCTATCGGACGATCTTGTGCACGATACAAACCTATATAGAACTTTAAGTTGGAAGTGTAGAAATCGGATGGCATACATTTTTTTCCGGATTTCATCGTTCTAGGGTGTGTACTACAACAACAAACTTTTTTTTTACATAGTTTTATTATGGAAATATATAGAAAATTATATATAACTTTAAGTTGGAAGTGTAGAAATCGGATGGCATATATTTTTTTCCTGATTTCATCGTGCTAGGGTGTGTACTACAACAACAAACTTTTTTTTACAAAAAATTTTATTATGGAAGTATATAGATAATTATATATAACTGCTATCGGAAGATCTTGTGCACGATAAAAACATATATAGAACTTTAAGTTGGAAGTGTAGAAATCGGATGGCATAATCTGTTTGAGATTTTAGGTAGGGTCAACTGTGGACCGACCCTTACAAAATTCAACATATAAATTTTGTTTCATATAAAAGTTGTCGAATTTTATAGCTATTTTTTTAAGCCAGTTATGAGTGGTAGTAATTTCCGGAGGTGGACCTTATATCGGGGATAGGTTAAATTATGGACCGATCCCCTTAAATTTGACAAAACGATGTTGACTCCTTGTTTATGTGGAATTTCTTTGCTATATTGGTATTTTTATTACAATTATTGAGTTAATATCTTTTTCTGAAGGGGAACTTATATGGGGGTAGGGTCAATTTTGAACCATCCCAGAAAGGTTTTGGATCATATAAATCTTGTAAAATAATTTCCTGATACTCATAAAATTTGGCAAAAAGATTTTAGTTCCTATAAAACTTGTTTTTGTCGTTCTTCTTCGCTATACTGGAATATTGAAGCTCAATAATAAACTCCATCAACTAAAAATATTTTGGCAAATATTGGCTAAGATCCTAGTCTATACTTTTATGGATTTTAGACCAATATTTCGGTGTAAAAGTTCCTTGGCTCCCTGATGAGTTTAACGTATACCGATATTGTCCATTTTCAATAACAAACTCAATCTTAGACTGTAATTAGATCCCAGCATATACTTTTATGGATATTAGACCAATATTTCAATGTGTTACAAACGGTGTAAAATGTTCCTTGACTCAATGATGGGTTGTGTCTTCCAAGTGGTGATTTAGCGATCTTGAAAGTGACGGAACTAATAGGGAATCACATTGTTCGCCGGTCTCTGGTAAGATTTTAGGTTGATAGTCATGCTGCACTTAAAGCATTAATATGTCATAGCTGTATTCTTGCATAGTCGTAGAATGAAGAAACGATCTAAGTATTATTATGTGACCGTTTACAATAAGGCTGTGTTGGGTACCAGGACCCTGCAATATACACAAATGAGGTATCTGGCGAACTGATACGATGAGGCTCGAATCTTGTCCCATATGAACGGAACAAGAAGTTAAAGCCACCCCTTTTTCATTTTTTAGGTTGATCTCCGATGGATTCCGTGACTCTTTCAACCAGTCATGGAATATAGAATGAATTGCACATTATATATGGTCGTTTTAAAAATACTTGATTCTAATGAAACCGGGATTATTATTGGGGTAGATGGTGTACACCAAGAACACTTGCACTGGCTATAAAACATTATTAAAATACATAAATTTTTCTTAGCACAAAATAAATATGTCTAGTAATTTGTTTTTGTTTCATTTGTTTACGTTTTTACAGAAACTCACCACACAACAATCAAAAACAGCTGTTAGGGTTTGCTGTTTTATCAAAAGGTTGTTTTATTAACGGGTATAAATCATTTATCTATATTTTTAATATAAACAATTAAAAAGTTGTCAAAAAAGCAAAGGCCACGATTTATAAATTGTAAAATGTCGGAATGTCGACTTATTGTTTCAACTATAGGACATTTATTCGTTATAATAGTTATTTTTATTGTATAAATATAAAATTAATTGTACTTACAAATTTTAAGCTAAATTAGCTATTAACTAAACTTTAACTTTTAGGAATTCTTGTGGCATGCATGTGTCTTTTATGCTGCCTTAAACCAGCATCCTGTGCATAACTCTTCCCACAAATGTTGCATGTATAGTTTTTACTACCATGAATGCGGCTGTGATATTGTAGATACTTTTTAGATGTAAAACTTTTACCACAGTCCTTACAAACGAAATTTCGAACATTAAGATGGGCATTAACATGATCTCTAAGGGTTGCTAAAACATTAAATCCTCTTTTACATATCTGGCAATGATATCGAAATCTTTCTTCATGTCGACGCATATGATTATCATAACCAATAGCAGCACGAAATCCTTCTCCACATATAGAACACAAATACGGTTGGGCGCCGGTATGTGAACGCATATGAAGTGTCAGTTCAGAGTTTAAGGGATATCCCTTGCCACAAATATTACAACGATATCGAAAAACTCCCAAATGGCGTTTTACATGTAATGTGTAATTGCCGTTTGCCTTGAATCCCATGCCACATTCTTGACACTTAAATGGTATGGATCCATCGTGTTGCGATTTGTGTATTTGAAAATCTTTATATTGCATATGGATTTCACTGCAATATGGGCATTTAAATGGTCCTTGATGTTCTTCTAGAAAATCACATTTATTATAGAAAGAACAAGTGGGTCGAAAACCCACATGTTTGGCTTCACATTTCAATTTGACTTCTTTATCTTTGGAAAATGAATTGTGTATATGTAGCAGTTGTTTTTCCAGTTTATCTACATCTAAAGGAATATCAATTTTCTTTTTAACATCATCCACCATAGATTGCAAAGATTCATCACGTTTTTGTTTGATGGGGTAGGCTACATGATTGACATTCCATAAACTACTGTAAGTCTTGTAAACATCTATTATTTCGCATAATAAATCATCGCTTAAGGGTTTCTGAAATAAGTAATTTTATTTAATTATGTTTTCACAATTCTCGTATTGCAGCTTTTTATAACCTCGATGAATAAAGAGTGTTGTCTTGATTTTTTATCAAACTCATCAACTTACCACTTTATGATATGTTTTTTTCTGGAATATAAAACTAAAATTACATATATATTTGTTTGTCGAATTAATAAATATTCTTACCCTTTTCTGTTTTAATTTGCTTTCAATTGTGGTTTTCAAAAAATTCATATTTTCATAAAACCATAATTCAGTATTATTTGTTTCAATGTTTTTATCACCCGCTTCCAATTGTCTTTTGATTTCTTTTTCGTACTTCTTGCATATATCCTTTATTTTATTCTTTATCGTATATAATTTCAAATTCCTCTTTAGTTTTTGATTCAATTCATCAGTTATATTTTGAAATAGCATTTCTCTTTGAACATTATTGCACTTGGGTAATAATGTATTCCAGAGTTGGGGCTTTTGGTTATAAGCTTCAATAAGTGCTAAAATGTAGTCTTTTTCTTTATCATTTCTATTATATTTTAGGGGTTCTATTAAATTTTCATCACTACTACACTTCATTTTGAAATCACTGTCGCTATCATTATCGTTTTCACTGACATCAGAATTGTTTTCGAGCTGTCATATTAAATTAACAAATTAATTTTTTATAACATACCTATATTTTCGTAATACATTACTTGTTCATCATCTGATAACATATTCATTTCCACATTCTCGAATTGAGATTCATCTTTTAAATGCGTGTTATCTATTTTAAATATTTCATTATCGTTTTCTAGTGAAACAGGTAGAAAATCTTCATTAGCATTACTTTCAAAGGCTTCTAGTGGGTCTTGGGAATTTTGCATCAATTGATCCTGAAAAATAAAACAATTTCTAGATATTGAAAGTGAAACAAAACTCAAATCGTCTCATATACATATACCCTTAGGGCAGAGTCGCACGTTCAATATATATCGTAATATTTGCAGTATTGTAATACAGCAAATATCACGATATACATATAGTGAACGTGTGACACTGCCCTTAACAAATTCGCCCTGTCAACAAATTCGATGTGTGGCCATATCGCTTTATACATAATTTACACTACTCTTATTATTTTTATACCCCCACCACCATCAGTGGTGATAGAGGGTATATATAAGTTTGTCATTCCGTGTGTAACACCAAGAAATATTCTGGGTCCTTATGAAATTCTGAGTCGATTTAGCTATGCCCGTCTGTCCGTTCGACTGTCTGCCAGCCTGTGTAAAACACTCTCACGTTAAAACAAAGCAATGGAAATTAACGAAATTGAGCAAAAATATTCATTATTATCCGGTACAGTTTGGTATTGAAAATGAGCAAAATCGGTTCACATCGGGAAAAGTTATGAATCAAAATTTAAAATAACTCCGAAAAAAAAAATCATTCTGATGTAATTTTCTCGAAAACTATGCAAGATAATTTCATGAATGCCATCTTGCATTCGTTTCTACACAAGATCTTGATTCCTGCTGAAAATTGCCAGAATCGGTCCATAATTTCATATACCTCCCATACAAAAGTACATATTCCCGGAAAATGAGTTTTTTGTTAATAACTTCCATCAGAATGCTGATATCTTCACAAAATTTTACAACTTAAAATCTTATGTCAATAGATTTCATTGAGAGAAAAAATTTTCTGGATGGGTCCATAATTGGACATAGCTACCATACAAGGTCCCCTCCCGAAAATCACTTAAACGCGCATAACTCATTACAAAATTAAGATATCCATATAAAATTTGGAATAAGTATTGCTCATATGCACAGAAATATTACTGTGAATGTTTTTTCCGATCGGTCCATAATTGGTCATAGCTCCCATACAAGGTCCCCTCCCGAAAATCACTTAAACGCACATAACTCATTACTAAATTAAGACATCCATATAAAATTTGGTACAAGTATTGCTCTCACATACAGAAATATTACTGTGAAATTTTTTTCCGATCGGTCCATCATTGGTCATAGCACCCATGCAAGGTTCCCTCCCGAAAATCACTTGAACACACATTACTTATTACTAAATTACGATATAAATACAAAATTTGACTGCAATATAGCTTTTATGTACAGAAATTTTGCTTAAAGAATTTTTTACGATCGGTGTATAATTGGTTATATCTCCCATACTAGGTCTTGCCTCTAAAAGCACTTTAACCGTATTTAACTAGTTGCATTATCAATTTGTGTAGAACAAAATTATATATTGTATATGTATTTTGAAAATCCATAAATATTTCACACACATGCTTACATGCACATTATTAAATATCGTTAAAGCATATTTTAAGGCGCTATAAAAATATTTAACAATAAATTTTGGAATTGTAACAGATTTAAGCTGTTTAAATCTTGGGGTTTTTCTATTTAAGACATGAGAAAACTTATTTCTACAAATATTTGATCAATTAAAAAAGTATTAATATAAATGTAGCTGGTGGAGGGTATTTAAGATTCGGCTCAGCCGAATATAGCACCCTTGTTTTATTCTATTTTGTAACTAAATCTATAGAGTCAAATATTTTATAACACTAACAAGAAAACTTTTTAATATTATAATCTTTACCTTTTTATGAAACCTAGTTACAATTTGAGATTTTTCCTCTTCTATTTCAGATTTTATATTACCATCATCATTAAAACAATCCTCAATTTTAATTTCTCCGACAAATATACTATCAATAGCGGGTTCTTTTTGTATGTCTGATTTATCATCGAGATTATCTTCATTATTAGTATCAGTAACAATAGCTGTTGCCTGTTCCAACTGGGTAATATGTTCCTGTTCAAGATGCAAAGTGAACTTTTTCATTTGTACACAAATGGTGTCACAAAACCAACAATTGAAAGAATAAACATTTTTGGCATTCTTTTTCATTGTAATTATAATTTCACCACATTTTTGTGAGACAGAATCATTACTTTTAACACTTTTAAACGACATTTTTACTAAAATTTTATTTATTGCTATATTAAATAAACAAATAAAATGTTAGACACTTGATTTTTGTTTATATACAATGAAATTTCTACTGTCAACAGCGTTGCCAATTTAGCGCTTTTGGCGCTAGATTTAGAGCCTTTTAACAACACAAAAGTCGCATTTTTTACTCTTAGCGCTTTTTTGGGAAAAGGCGCTGAATCAGCGCGTTTTACCTATATTTTTTTGAAGAAATGAAAAATCTTTTTAATAACATAAAATTACTCTAGTGGAGCAATATAGATAAACAGAATAATTTTGGACAGTAGTTACATAAATAATTAAAAAACTAAAATAAGAAATATTCACCAATAGAAGACTCTTTAAATTTTCATTCTCTTTGAAGGGAAAATTGATTTCGTGAATTGAATTGATTATAAAATTATATAAAAAATTCAAAATGTTGATTCATAAAAGTTTTCTGTTTTTGATAATTTCACTGCGAAGGAAACAATTCCTTGACGACTTATTTTTTCACAAAGTTTTGCCTCTTGGTATTTTTGGAAATGAAGGGTTTAAATGCAAATTTATTATGGGAAATTTTGCAAAAATCGCTTTGACTATTTATTGAGATCTTGAGATGGTAGGAAGAGTTATTGAATAAGAAAATCGAACATACATATTTGTATTAACCTTAATTAATGGCATGCTTTGGATTTTTTTTTTAATTTCGTTCCCGAATCAAAATTCCAAATATCGAGCAATTTTTTATTAAAAAAATTTAGGTAAATCTATATATATAAAAGAGTCGCGTTACTGACTGACTGATTCATCATCGCACAGACCAAACGGCTGAACATAGAGTCATGAAATTTTAACAGTATATGTGTTTATTTTGGTTATGTAGATCCACTAAGGAGGGATTTTTGGAAATGGTTTTCTTACTTATCTTACATAATATTAGTGATACAAAAAATACACCTGTATCTACTCTTAAAATGAGCAGATGGGTGTCTGGTACTTTTTTGAAATTCGTACTTTTTAGTGGTAAAAATGAGTAACAAAGGTGATTTTGGTACCTTTTTTGGTACTTTATAACTTTTTAACAAATAAACATAATCAAAATTTTTTAAATGTTTTGGACATATGTATCTTCCAAAATTATGAGACAACTTTTTTAAAATGCAGTCCTTTTTGGGTGTAAAATAGAGAAAACTGTATTTTTGTTACTTTTTTAGCACATTAAATAAACTTTTTCGATTTATTGACGTATACCTATTAAATTACGGACTAACTCTGTAATATTTATGAAAACAAAATAGTTTCTATTTCATTGGGAAGAAAAAAGTACCAAAAAGGGGAATACGAGAAATATAATTTTATTCAAACTCATTGAGCCAATTTTTATAAAATTTGAAAAAATATTTAATTTACTCACACAAAATAAACTATTGGTATATTATTTTGAAATTCAGGAACTAGGGCCTATATAGGACCAAATTTTTCTGGAACAAATGAATGCAGATTTGAGTCTTTTGAGTTTTATATGTGATATACATACACAGGAGCGGATCCATGGGGGGAAAAAGGGTAAATTTAAACTTTTTCGTCCTTCAAATTGTACTATAATATTGAACATGTAGAATTCTGACTGAATAAGATTCCGCACAAGAATCAAACGTTTTAAAGTTTCTACAGTGGGGATCTGAAACAAATGACACACGGTTCTTATAAAATGAGAATTTATAAAAGGGAGATTTTTGGTACTTAGTACTTAGCTATAAAAGTAATAAAAATTTTATACTTAATTTTCATTGGGTAGCGAGGCACCCGATTACACTAGTACTATATATTTAGTGACCTTATATATACATTTAATTTTAGCGCTTTTTAGCGCGTTTTGACTAAATGGACAGCGCGTTTTGGTATAAAATAGTTGACAACGCTGACTGTCAAAAAAAAAATCATTCCCTACGGGAATGTGGTTCAAATTTTATAGCAAGCTCAAAAAGTACCAGTCAAAGAACGAAAAAGTACCAAAAAGTGCCATTTTATAGATTCTCATTTACTCCGGGCTCTACGTGCATAATTTCATGTTTCTATGTTCAATTTAATAGAAAACTCAAAAAGTACCTTTTGAAGAACGAAAAAGTACCAAAAAGTCCCCTTTTATAGGACCTCACTTAATCCGGGCTCTACATGCTTAATTTCACGTTTCTAGGTTCATTATTATACAAAAACTTAAAATGTAACTTTTGAAGAACCAAAAAGTCCCCTTTTACAGGTTCTCACTTAATCGGGGCTATACACGCTTTCATGTTTCTAGGTTTAATATTATAGAAAATTCAAAAAGTTCCTTTTGAAGAACGAAAAAGTACCAAAAAGTCCACTTTTATAGATTCTCAAGTGCTTAATTACATGTTTCTAAGTTCTAAGTCAAAAAAGTACCAGTCGAAGTACGATAAAGTACCAATAAGTCCCATTTTATAGATTCTCATTTACTCCGGACTCTACTTCCCAGGGGGGAAATTCTTTCACAATATAATCGATCAATATGCTACATAACTCTATAACCCTTTCACCCACAAACCAAACCACTGGACTTTTTATGTGTATGAGTTCACTATACACTTTATTTTGACGTATGTACAGTGTCTCTCATAAGTATTCGAATTTAGGTAAACTATGAAAAGAAACCAAATTTAATAATATATTTTGTGTGGAAAATAAATAAATTAATTTGTTATATTGTCTAGATAGTCCTTGGTTTTGATATCACGCCCCTTAAAACTTGAAAACTTTACATTTACTTAAATTAGTTGTGTTTTTTTTTTAAAAAAGTCCATGAAACTACTTCACAAAAGTATGCGAATTTTTCCTGTATTTCATATTTGATCATATTATACGATACACAAATTTTAGAATCGCATGGTTTTATGCTTAATATTGTTTTAAGAGGTTACTATCAACCGCATGGATATATTTTTGACCCATTTGGTCCACAATTTTGGGGGATTTGTACCCTCTTTTCATGTAATATCATTAAAATGGCGATTTTTGGCTATATTTGTAATGTTTTCACCCTTTTTCCAGAGATAAAACCAAAATTTAATATTGGAAATAGAACCCATAGGGTATCTAAAAATAATATTTTTTGTTATAAGGATCTGTACTTAAAAGTTCCAAGATGTATTTTTGGTATCGTTTTTCAGTTTCTAATTGAATTATCTGGATCATAAGTCCCTTTTCGTACCTCTAGGGACGATATTTTCCGACAAAGTTGTCTAGTGTATATTCATGTACATATTGGCACTAATGTATTTTAAATTTTCAATATATTATAGCGGTATACAACCCCAAAACATGCCTTAACAAAACGTCATCCTATATAGTAGATTTCAGTTTTTACTACTCGTAACTTACAATAACACTGTAAGTCCTAAATTTTGGCTTTAATTTGATCATAGTAAATAATATTTAAACACTTATCAACATTTTTGATGTGATCATAATGATATCGTGCCATGCAGCATGGAGGCCATTGGTATATAAAAATAATGATTTTACTATTTTGAATGGTGCTTCTTCGAGGCATGTTTTGGAGTTGTACACTTCCACAACACATTGAAAACTTAAAATGTATAAAAGCTGATATCTAAAAGAATATATACCAGAAAACTTGCCCGGAAAATAGTTGATCCTAGTATTATAAAAATAGACTTAAGTTCCAATATATTGAATTAGCGACAGAAAAATGATCCGAATAATTTATCTTGGAACGTTTAAATACAGATTCTTGTAACAAAAAATATTATTTTTAGATACCCCAAGGGGTCTTTTAAGTCCCAATATCAAATTTTTGTTTTATCTCTGGAAAAAAGGACAAAAATTTACAATTATGGCCAAAAATCGCCATTTTAATGATATTACATGAAAACAGGGTACAAATTCCTAAAAAGTTGTGGACCAAATGGGCCAAAAATATATCCTTTCCGTGGATAGTAACCCCTTAAAACAATATTACGCATAAAAACCATTTGATTCTAAAATTTGAGTTGCGTATAATATGATCAAATATGAAATACAGGAAAAATTCGTATACTTTTGTGAGGCAATTTCATGAACTTTTTTTAAAAAAGCACAATTAATTTAAGTCAATGCAAATTTTTCAAGTTTTAAAAAGCGTGATATCAAACATAAGGACTATCTAGACAATATAACAAATTAATTTATTTATTTTGCACACAAAATATATTATTAAATTTGCTTTCTTTTTATAGTTTACCCAAATTCGAATAATTATGAGAGACACTGTATGTATATTGATCAATTTTGATAAAAAATGGAAAGTGTTTCCGAAGGATATGCTAGGATATTATAATTGCAGTGACCTCAAATTCTAAAAAAGAACTTAGTTTTCTATGAAAATAATTCATCACTGTAGCTGCAAACTCAAAATATAGAACCTTACGTGAAAGAGATAATATAGTATGTTCCAGACCATTACAATGTTGATATTAAGAATGAGAATGTAACATTTAATTAAAAATTAAATTTCCTTTATTATTTTATTCATTCTTCTTTTTATTTTTACCAATACTACCAATTGGAATACCGTGTTGCTTTTTATGTTGCCTTAAACCAGCATCCTGTGCATAGGACTTACCACAAATATTACACCTATAGTTTTTACTTCCATGTATACGCCTATGATACATTAAATACTTTTTAGCAGTAAAACTTTTACCACATACATTACAAATAAAATCTCGAACATTGAGGTGAGCATTGACATGATCAGTAAGAGTAGTTAAACAATTAAACCCTTTTTTACATATATCGCAATAATGTCGAAATCTTTCTTCGTGCCGACGTATATGATTATCATAACCAGCGGAAGTACGAAAACTCTCGCCACATATCGAACACAAATAAGGTTGAGTATCATTGTGTGTACTCATATGGAATTCTAGTTCAGAATTTACGGGATAGCCTTTGCCACAGATTTCGCACCGAAATTTAAGCACGCCCAAATGGCGTTTAACATGTATAGTGTAGTTTCCATGTGCCTTAAAACCTGTGCCGCATTCTTGACATTTAAATGGATCGGAGCCATCATGTTGGGATTTGTGTATAAAAAAATCCTTGAATTTCATAAACATTTTTTTGCAATATGGACATTGGAATGGTCCTACATGATCTTCTAAAAAAGTACACTTATTCGAAAAGGAATATGTGGGTTGGAAATCTTGTTGTTTTGCATCACATTCTAATTTGAGTTGCTTATCCTGAGAATATGATTTGTGTATATATAATAGATGTTTCTCTAGATTATCTACATCTATGGGAGTATCAAGTATCTTATTAACATCGTCTAGCATAGACTCCAAAGTTTCAAAGCGTTTTTCTTTGACGGGATAAGCTACATCATTAACATTCCATAAACTAATGTAGTTTTTGTATATATCAATTATTATGCATAACAAGTCATCGCTTAAAGGTTTCTGAAAAAATAAAAATAAATATGGTACATAGAATTTCTTTTGAATTTAAATACTTATAAATAACTGGCTAGTTTCAAAATTTTGGATTTATTAAATTTTAACTTTTTAATTAACTTACCACTTTAGTATATGTTTTTTTCTAAAATAAAAAAACAAAGATAGATGATGTAGCATTTTAAATGTGTTAAATGTTCATACCCTTTTTAATTTCAATTTACATTCAATTATTGCTTTAAGAAAACTCATATGTTCAGAAAACCACAACTTGGTATGCTTTTTCTTTCTACTACCCTTTAACTGGTACTTAATTACTTTCTCATATTGCCTGCATATAAGATTTAATTTTTGCGTCACGGTGTCAACTTTAAATTTAGATTTTAGTTTAAGGTTCACTTCATCAGTAATATTTTGTAAAAGGGCCCTTTTCACCTTTGGTCTACATTTTCTTGATGTATTCCATAGTTGTGACTTTTGATAATACGATTCAATGAGTGCTAATGTGAATTCTTTTTCTTTTGTTTCTATTAATTCTTCATCAGTATTATCTTCAATATTGTTGTCGCTCTCGGTAAAATTATCTTCTCCACTAATTACTGAACTATCTTCAACCTAAAATGAGCAAAATAATACATTAATACATATATATTTTATATTAGAAAAAAACTTACATATTCATCATCTGAATAGTTATTAGTGTCCATATCCTCGAAAATTTCATCTGTATCTGCACCGGTATCTATTTTAAATTCAATTTCTTCCTTGTTGTCTTGTAAAACAGGCAGTATAATTTCATTTTCATTACTATCACAGGTTTCTAAGGGGTCTTGAAATGTTGGTGATAATTTATTCTAAAAAATAATAATACTTATATACCCACCATTAAATTATATCGGGTATATTGATAACACATTTTAATATTATACAAAAGTACATACATATGTATATGTACATACAAATGTATATTCTGGCTTCATATACGATTATAAGACGATCAACCTATGTCCGTTTGTTGTGAAGTCTCCGTCAAAAAATTACCTTAACATTAATACATGTATCATATAATGCTTTTTACAAAAAGCAGTTTATTATCAAAAATCTTCAAAAGTGATGCAATTAAAATAAAATTAATAAAAATTATTTGTTCTAAGAAATTTATCACTTTTTTATATAAACCAACTTTATCAGACAATGTTCACACAAAGTATACCCAGTAGGATTTTGAGTTAACTTAAAACTAACTTATGGTTAACCACAAATGAGTCAGAGGTGACTCAAAAGCTAACCATTTTGCTTTTAAAATACTATTCAGTTTTTCAATGTGATGTCATAGGAACAAGTCAGTACTCACTCACTATACATCAGTTTCAGTTAACCAGAAGTTACCTCAAGATGAGTTAGCTTCTAGTGCATAAATAAAAGATCAGCTGTGAGTTACCTGTGCAATTTTCTTATATTTTTATACTATTTTTAACAAATTGTTAGTAATAATAAATGCGTTCAATATGCAGCAACATTTCCTTCCTATATACACCTTTATCTATGTCTTATATTCCTGAAAATGTTAATTTAATAATAATAAATTCATTTTTCATTGCTGAAACAAATTTTCATTTTCATAATTTCATTTTTTCAATACAAATTGTTTGACAAATTTGATACGAGTTTCTATTTTATTTTTTATTTAAAATTTTATTGAAATGTTTGTTCATTTCCTCGATCATTTTTGAGTTACTTTGAAGCTAGTCATAAGAAGTTATCAAAAAGTTAACTTTATTTTTAGTTAACTCACAAAATCCTACAGGGTAGTTTATGTGCTATTTAAAAAATTTCATAATTTTTTTAATCCTAAAATCTAAAATAAAAAGAGAATTTCCCATATGAAAATTAAAATATAAATTTCTAATATATTCGATGCCTTTTTAAAGTAATAAATTATAGGTGATGGGTATTTAAATATATCACTCAATCTTTTTCAATTCTATATTGGTCAGTCCATATTTGGTATATGTCCCATTTAATATTCCAAATCAAACATATTAATATCGATATTTAATAATTTAATTCGGCATAATTGTGAGATAGTAACCCATGGTTATAAAAGATGAAAGGACGGTCCTATAAAAACCTAAATCTATTTATAAACCGATGGTTTAATTTAATTGAACTAAAATCTTTATTTAAAGTTACCTTTTGAGATCTTGTTACAATTTGTGGCTTTTCGTCCTCATTTTCCGGTTTAATATCATCATTTTCATAATCTTCTATTTTAATTTCTCCAATCAGTATATTATCAGCAATTAAAACGGCTTCTTTTTGAATTTCTGTTTTATCATCCAGATTATCTTCATTATTACATTTTGCAACAGTAAAAGTTGTTTCTTCCAACTGGTTAACATGTTCCTGTTCAAGATGCAAAGCGAACTTTTTCATTTGTACACAGATGGTATTACAAAACCAACAATTGAATGAATAAACATTTTTTGCATTCTTTTTCATTGTGATTGTAATTTCTCCACATTTTTTTGTAATAGTATTATTATTTTTAACATTTTTATTAGACATTTTAATAAAAATTCTTCCTAGTATCAACACAACAAATAGAGAAATAAACCAAGAGACAATTGTTTACATTTTTGTTTGTGTAGTGTGTTCAGTTATATCTTATTTACGCAGGGGATGTTAAATATGGAGTTATCTGTAAGGAGTATGTTTAATACTGATACTTTTTTTAAACTGGGGCAAAAAGAACGAAAAACTAAATGCTCATAAATTTTAAATGTAGAATCCTACGATAATAATCGAATTTTGTACTATATTCTTTCATTATATTTTCAATTAAATCTCTTATTAAATACCTATTTCTATTTGCATATATCATTAGCCGCTGTTTTCGTTTAATACCCAAAAGCGTTTATTGAAATCTAGATTTGGCGTATTTGTGAGATCTAGAAGATTAAAAAATGGAAGTAATGGTGTTAATTAATTATTTATTGGTCTATATTATAGACTCTATAAAGAACGTCTTTCTTTTGTAATAATTTATTTCACAAAACTAATTTGTTTTTACACAATGTATTTGAATGTTTAAAAGTTACAATTAGAATGAAAATATTTTTTCTTTCAATACAAAACATAAAACAAATTTCAAAGAATATATAATTTACAAATTGAAGAGTGTATATAAAACAAGTTTTACAAAGTATTTCAATACCCTCTCTCACTCTGACAATTGTAATTTACTTCTAAAAATTTGATAATTAACAATTCCTAAAACTTTTGTACAAATATCTGCAAGTTGATCACTTGATTTAACATATTCTACATTTATATTGCCTTGAGCTAAATGATCTCGAATGAAATGGTATTTGATATCGATATGTTTGGATCTCTTGCATTCTGTGTTTTTCGACATAAAAATACAACATTGGTTATCCTCATATATTGTTACAGAATAATTCTTGTTTATAATTGCTAAGTCGTTTAAAATCCCTTTCAACCATATGGCTTCAGATGTAGCAGCACTTAGAGCTATATATTCTGCTTCAGATGATGATGTTGCTACTGTTGCTTGCTTCTTACTTGACCATGATACAGTATTACCATAAACTTGAAATATATAACCACTAACTGATTTTCTGTCAATATGATCAGATGCCCAATCTGCATCTGTATATCCAATTAACGGTTCGGCATTGGTATTTTTCTTTATTTGCAACTTAAAATTTTTCGTTCCACTAATATATCTTAGAATTCTTTTAAGCATTTTCCAATTCATTTCTGTAGGGTTTTGTTGAAAACGACCCATGTATCCAATATGAAAGCATATGTCAGGACGAACACAAAGCATTAAATACATTAAGCTACCTAATAGCTCCCGATATGGTTTATTTGTATTTTCAGATTTAGGTAATTCTGTCATTTTTTCCATTGGTGTTCTAGCAGGTTTACATTGTTCCATATCAAACTTCCTTAAAATATTATTGATATTTGATTCTTGAGATAGTTCCATTATACCATCTTCACGATTGTAATCAATTTTTATTCCCAAAAATAACTTTAGCTCCCCACAGTCCGACATTTCAAATCGTTTTTCCAATTCATGTTTTAAAGTTGTTATATCAGATAATTGTTTGCCTGCAATAAGTAAATCGTCTACATAAAGTAATAAATAAATGATACTGTCATTTTTGTTTCTTATATACAAACAGTAATCATGTTTAGATCTACTGAAACCAATTTGAATTAAATAATTATTAATTTTCTCATTCCAACATCTGGGACTTTGTTTCAGACCATATAACGATTTATTTAGTTTGCAAACATAATTTTCTTTCACATCAACACCTTCGGGTGGCTGCATATAAATATCTTCTTTAAGATCGCCGTGAAGAAAGGCAGTTTTTACATCCATTTGATGAAAATAAAATTTCAATTGAACTCCAACAGCCAATACAATTCTTATAGTTGTTAGTTTAGCAACCGGTGCAAATGTTTCTTCGTAATCTCTTCCGTGTTTCTGTAGAAACCCTTTTGCTACTAATCGAGCTTTATATTTCGACAGTTCTCCATTCTCATTTTTCTTTATTCGAAATACCCACTTCGATTTCAATGTCTTCACATCTTTTGGTTTCTCTACTAGAGTCCAAACGTTATTATCTTTCATTGATTTAAGTTCTTCTTTTACTGCTTCAAACCACTTGTTACGGTCTTTGCGTTTTTCAATTTCATTAAACGTTGTTGGAGAATCATCTACCGCCTGTTCATGTATATCAGCATTATAACTCGTAAAATAGTCTGTAAATACCTTCGGAATTAGACCACGAGCACTTCGTCTTAATATTGAAGTATCATTTGTTGTACTTCCAGAAATGTTTTCACTATCATCTATAGAAATCACTTCAGGCTGAATAGTATTTGAATCTTCTGATATATTTTCATCAACTTCATCAACAACACCACTTGATTCCTCTTCCACAATTTGTGATTCTATTATTTCATTTGTAGTAATGACATCATCACTATTTTCCCTCTCTTGCTCAATACTGCAAATGAGAATAATTTGTGGTTTAAATGTTTTATTTTTACTTTTGAATGGGAAGACAGATTCGTCAAATTTTACGTCACGAACTGTAAATATTTTCTGATTGGTGTTGTTCCATATTCTATAGCCATTGTTTGTATAACCAATCATCACACCATCTTGACTTTTTTCATCAAGTTTTATTCTTTTCTGTTCTGGTATCCAAGCGTAAGCTTTACAACCAAATATGCGCAACTTTTTAACACTAGGTTTGTATCCATACCATAACTCAGCTGGGGTCTTCATTTCCTTAACAGCTCTCGTTGGACTTCTATTTATTAAATGTACAGCCATTAATGCTGCTTCACCCCACAATTTCTTTGGGGCACTTGATTCTATTAGCATTGTTCTTATTCTTTCAACTAAAGTTCTATTAAATCTTTCTGAAATACCATTTTGCTGAGGTGAGTACGCTATAGTATCTTCTATTTGTATACCTTTTTGTTTATAGAAGGATAACTGTTCTTTAGAATGATACTCGGTTCCTTGATCACAGCGTAGAATAGAAATCTTTTTACCAAATTTAGCTGTCACAAGAGCTTCATATTCTTTAAATTTCTCAAAGACTTCAGATTTCTTTTTCAACAAGTAAATTATCGCAAAATGAGTATATTCGTCAATGAATGACACAAAATATCGATATCCATCATGAGTATTAGGACTAATAGGACCACATACGTTACTATGTATTCTTTCAAGTACACGATTAGATCGTTTATGTAAACCATCAAATGGATCACGACTTTGTTTTCCTTTTATACAAATGTCACACAAACCAAATTGCTTTACATTACCGATGTCCAAAACCATTTCATTACGACTCATCAACTCAAGACTTTGTTGATTAATATGACCTAATCTACTATGCCATAATTTTCCTTCATCACGAGCACATAAATTTACAGATCGAAATTTATTAAATTTAATTTCATAAACATTACCTTTTAATTCTGCTAAAGCTAACTTACTACCTCTATACAAAATTGTTGCTCTATTTTCTTTAAAAACTACTTCAAAACCAGGTTTCGATAATCTTCTAACAGATAATAAGTTCTCCCTTAGATTTGGCACGTACAAAACATCCTTCAAGTTCACTTGCTTTCCAAATTGAGTGTATACTGTAATATCTCCAACTTCATGAGCAATAAGCATTTCATTTTCCTTGGCCACATTTATCTTTATTGGATTTTTCAAAATAGTACTGGTATTGAATAATTTTCGATCATTTACCAAATGATCACTCGATCCCGAATCCAAAATAAAATGCATATAATAATTTTCTTTTCTATTATTATTGACCATAAAGCATACAGGAATATCATTATCTTCTTCAAATTCCACAATCTTAGCATCTTGATGATTGTTCTTAGCATGGCTTACCATATTAGCTTCTCTTTTAAATCTGCAATTTGCTTTCATATGACCTCTCTTACCGCAGTTGTGGCATTTTCCATTAAATTTCAAAAATTTATTCTTCTTGGCCGCAAAAGCAGTACCTCCTTTATTGTCATCAGCTGCATCATTACGATCATACCTTTTTCTCTCTTCTGCCAGCAATCGTTGCTTCACTAGTTGAAGAGTCAATTCTTCTTCCTTTATATTCTCCAAAGCAGTTACCAAAGGATCATAGCTATCAGGAAGACTTACAAATAGCTGCGAAACCAAGTCGCACTCAGCTAATTCTGCTCCAGCCGATTTCAGTTGTCTCAAATTCAATGAAGTGGTCTTTCATTTTTGTATCATCCGATAATTTTAATCTGGCTAGTTGCTTTCGTATAATCGTTTGACTTGTAGATGATTTAACCGCAAATACATCCTTCAATGCGTTCCACATAGCTTTTGATGTAGACTTATCACGTACATAGTCCAAATAATCGTCGGATATACAGCTTACCAACACCGATTTCGCCTTTTTATCTTTCTCCATATATTTTCTGATTTGAGCTTCAGTCGCGTTTTCGGGTAGACTTGATTCAACTGCTTCTAACACATCTAGTGCATCCAAATACATTTTTACTCGAAAACTCCAGTTTTCATAACCCGTTCCATTAAACTGAACTATTCCATGAGGAATTTCCTTACGTTGGTCGCCCATAACCTTTTGTAATAATTTATTTCACAAAACTTATTTGTTTTTACACAATGTATTTGAATGTTTAAAAGTTACAATTAGAATGAAAATATTTTTTCTTTCAATACAAAACATAAAACAAATTTCAAAGAATATATAATTTACAAATTGAAGAGTGTATATAAAACAAGTTTTACAAAGTATTTCAATACTTTCTTTTCAAGAAAGAGGAGGCATCATGATGGTCTCCTGGAAGAATGCCCACAAGAGAGTGGCAATTATATACCTAGTCACCTAGGCGGGTGGTGGTCGGTCGGCTAGTGGTGACATGGTATATTATCACCTAGAGGCAATGGACGGAAGCTGATTGCCGTATTCAGGGGGTATTCTTGGGATACATACTTATTATTATACCATTGATCTCAGCAGAATCACTACCATACACCCATAATAGAGCGCGATGTCTGTCTGGTGTGCCTTTCAGTGAAGTTCTTG